CAAGTGCTGGTGCGCTGAGTGAACGGTCGAGGACCGCTGCATTAGACTAACTCAAGAAGTGTTGCAGGGGCCAGAAGATGGTTGTCGGCTCAGAGCACCCGCCCTGCAAGTGCACAGTCAGGACTTCAAACCCCCAGTGTCTGGTTGTGGGTACAGTATTTACGGCCTTGCACGTGAGTTCCATGGCATTGTAGAAAAAAATACCTAAAAACCGAGTCCCTGGCATCTCACCCGCACAGAAACTAACTCTGGCAGCTCTGCTGGAGAGGCGGACCTCCCCTTCCTGGTCCCCCACACCACAAGCGTCCCTGCTGCACCATAGCAAATTAACACAAAAAGGGGTCCCAGGGCCAGGGAAGTAGCTCAAAAGGTATGTGGGAGTCCTGGATTCGGTCCCCAGAACCGCATGGTTCCCCCAAGAATGACTAGGAGCTACCCTTAAAGTACTGAGCTGGATGTGGCCCCCAAAACAAACCCCAAAAGGCTAAACCAAACTATCCAAGCACTGGGGTGAGGCATAGTACAGCAGTAAAGATGCTTGTTGACCAGGCTCAATCCTGGGCATTCCTAGGGGTCCCTGAGCTCACCAGGACTCATGCCTGAGTGCAGAGCCAGAAGCAAGCCCTGAGCACAGCCTGGTGTGGCCCCCAAATAAAAAAGCAAAAACCTCAAAATGTCCAAGCATCACAGGAAGGAAGCATGACCTCTAAGGGTGTGAACCTTGAGTACTGTGGTCAAGGACGTGAATGCTGCAGTGTGATGTGTGACTCCACAAGCACCAGAGCTAAAAATGTCCGACACCACAGCCAGGCATGTGTGAAACCCCGGTCGCTGCAGCAAGAGTGAAGTTCTACTATTGGGGCTGGAGAGAGAATACAGTGGGTCGGGTGCTTGTTTTGCAGGGGGCGGATTCAGTTTTAATCTCTGGCATCCTGTATGGTCCCGAGCACCGCCAGGAGTGATTCCTGAGCGCAGAGCCAGGAACAACTCCTGAGCATTGTCGGGTGTGACCCCCCAAACCAACACAAAAAGGTTCCATGCTGATTGATGGAACAATTAGTGCTCAGCACGGCACCTGGCACCTAGTAGGCATACAAACATTCAGTCAGAGAATCACCTGAACTGGCAGCTACATCATGATGTTTATTTCTTGGGTGGGGGGGCGGGAGGTGAAAGGGTGCCAGCAATCAAACACAGAACCTCGCATATGCCAGGCAACTGCTCTGCTCACAGATCACACAAGCTTCTGTCTGTATGGCAATCCTGGTTCCCCAATTGCAGCTGATCTGAAATTCCGGATGCCCTTGTTCTTTACAAGGGGGTCCATTTGCTCGAGCAGGCCCAGTAACATCTCCATTGGAGACTTTGTTGTTACTGTGTTTGGCATACCGAATACGTCACGGGGAGCTTGCCAGGCTCGTGCGGGCGAGATACTCTCGGTAGCTTGCCGGGCTCTCCGAGAGGGGCAGAGGAATCAAACTCGGGTTGGCCATGTTGGCCGCTTGCAAGGCAAACGCCCTACCCGCTGTGCTATTGCTCCAGCCCTAAAACGGTATATTTCACACATCTCTAGACTACTCATATCTAATACAGTGCAGATGCTGTGTAGATGCACACTTTACACACAGACACACAGATTCCCTTTATTCCTTCGTGTTTGGGTGCCCAAGCCCCCCTCCCCCCAAAATGGTAATGCTCAGGGCTTCCTCCTGGCTCTGTGCTCAGAGATCACTCCTGGTGGGCTTAGGGGACCATATGTGACTGAACCCGGGTTAGCCATGCGCACGGCCCCCAATCTCTGTACTGGCACTCTGGCCCCCGTTGTCCATTGCTGTGCTCATCCAGACTTGGCTGAATAGATGGGTTTGTACATAAAATGGAGTTAATCGACATAGAGTTTATATTAAGTTTAATTTTATTTCATCTGTAATTCATGACAGCTCCGTCACTGATCTGTCGTTTAAATAAACGTAGAAGTGTTTCTAGAAGAAACGCACGCTCAGTTTCACTTTGGGCTGAAGGCACATGCCCCGGCCTGCAGGGAATTCCCCCTCGACGCCCAAACTGATGATTCTCACAGGCTGTGACAGCGGGTGTCTAAATACACCAATCACTCAGGGCTCTCTAAATTCCAGCACCTGAAACGAAGAAATCCCGATGATGAAATCTCTTCCCTATCATTCTGAGCGTGATCCTCCCCTCAAGGACGCTGTGTGTTCTAGCAGCTTTTTAAAATCAGGGGCCAGGTGTTTGTCCAGCGGGGAGGTCTTGAGGTGGCCGACCCCAGTCCAACCCCTGGCCTCCCACATGGTTGCTCCCTGCCCTTCCAGGTGTGGTCCCAGAACCCCTCCCCCTCCCCCCAATAAGAAAGAACGTGTTTTTTTCAGTCGGGAGCCCCACCAGGCAGTGTGGGGGCTATTCCTGACTGCTCTGGGGCTACGGGTGCTCACAGTGCTGCTCCAAGGGCTGTGGGGTGCTGGCAACTGCTTCCGGAAGCCCCACGTGCTTCTCCAGCCTTCAGGGCCCTCTCTCCAGCCCCTACCCTGCATTTTTAATTCCTCCTAAGACTGTCTCACCCCTACAGGGGGTTGTGAGCGTTTGAGGGTAAAGGTCCTATGCAGCAGTGGGGCACCCAGGCGAACCAGCAAGTACTCAGGAGTCACCCAGCCAAAGAGGAAATTCCTGATTTCAAGGCAACACGTGAGGTCAGAACTTCACAACTGACAGTTCTGCTGTTCTGGAAAGCTTCCTTGAGCCCCAGCGTAAGGAGGTAGTCGTGAGCTGGAGAGAACTGGCTGGAAGGAAAATCTGCAAAATGACCGCGGCTCTCCCCATGGTCATCACATGTCTAAACATGCCAGGAAACTGCCAGGTCTGGGAACCACACAACTGTTCTGCGGGGAATTAAGTGTTCAGAGGCCAGAGTCATAGTACAGGGGTAGAGTCTTGCCTCGCATGTGGCCACTCAGGTTCCATCCCTGGGATCCTATATTGCCCCCTGAGCCCACCAGGAGTGATTTCTGAACCCAAAGCCAGGAATAGCCCCTGAGAATTTTGTGATTTATCCACAATCTTAAGAGCCTTTTTGGGCAGGAGCCAGGATGTCAAGCAGGCATCAACCCGGCTCCTTATTTTTACTTTCTGTTTCTTTTTGGCCTCTCCCAATGGAGGTTCACGGTCATTTCAGGCCATCCTTGGGGACCATACGGGTGGCAGGGATCGAACCCGGGTTGGCCACATGCAAAGCAAGCTTCCTACCTGCTGTACTCTTTCTCCAGCCCCTAGTCCAAGTGTCTTGAGTCCAGAGGGGACTGAGCTGACCATGATCTCCTGCCCAGGGCACATCAGGGTGGGGTGTGCCTGCCTGGCGCTACCCTAATGCTGCCGCTTCCTTCTTCCCTGATAGACGCCCAGACTGCTGGAGCAAAGGGGATCTCCATCCCTGCCCCCCTACTTCCCAGGCCGAAAAGGGTGCTTTTCTACTCTGCTGTGAGCAGCACCTTCCCCGGGCAAGTTCCTTTCAGTTCTGGTTCTTCAGACACTGCCACACTGATTTTCAGTTCCTGGAAAAAACACTCCAAGCTTGAGTCAGACACTCCATGTGCTGCTCAAGGATCCTTCCTGCAACACTATTTATAAAAACTAATTATAAACAACACGAATGCCTATCAACAGCACTGCTTAAATTATAGTACAACCACATGATGGCCAAGATACTATGCAGCTGCTAAGTAATAAAATGTCTACTATATTGTTAAGGAAAAGGCACCAGGCATTGATGTGGTTTGCAGGTGATGAAAGACTCAGCTTATTTATTCCTGATATTTTAAAAAGCATTTAAAGGTATCCAAGAAGAAACTAAGAAGGGGGTGGAAAAACTCGCAGAGCACGGGCCTTTATGCCCACACGCACTCGCTCCCTCCTAAAAACCCAACCGCGGTTCCCTTTGAGGTTTGGGGAGCAGGTCTGAGGGAAAAGTGCTAACCTGGGCTTTCTGGGGCGCTGCTGTCGGTCCGCCCCCGTACTGAAGCACGTGCGCTACTTTCTGTCAGGTCGAGGCTAAAGGAACAAGAACTACCCAACAGGTCACCGACTGGAAAGGGACGGGGCTGTCATGCAAAATCCGCAGTTGCGGGGCAGGAGGGAGTTAGGGCGCTTGACCCGCAGAAGCGGACAGGGCTGGGGCAGGCTCGTCCAACCTCGAGCAGGGTCCCGAGGTGTCTGACCGGGGAGGTGGTGGGGACCCCTGAGCCCTCCCCTCCACGCCCCATCTGCAGTCCCTGGGGCCGCGGAGGGCTCAGAGGGCTGCAAGCAGAAGGCCCGGGTCCAGGGGTCCCCTGGGCATCGCCTGACGCTCCAGCACCGGGCACGGTCCCCCGCCCCCCGCAACCAGAAAGCCGGAGCGCAGAGCCCGGAGTGAGCCCTGAATGAGCGAGCACCCCGGGGCGAGCACCCCCGCGATAAAAACCTCATAAAAACAGACAGACAGACAGACAAAAGACACCGAGCGGGCAGGCAGGCAGGCAGAAACTCTCCCGCGCCTTCGCGGGTGGCGGAGCCGCGGGCGCGCCGGCAGACACTTACTCCGGGCCTGGAGGCGGGCGGCGGGCCGGGGGCGCAGAGGGCCCGCCCCGCCCCCTTCCGCGGCCGCTCGGCTTCTTCCGGGCCGCGCCGGCCAGCGGCTCCCGCCGCGCGCGCCGGGCCCCGCGGAGCCGCCGCCGCCGCCGCCGCCTCGCCTCGCCTCGCCTCTGCCCGGCGCGGAGCGGCCCGCGCGCAGGCGCGGCGCGCGCGCAGGCGGGGAGGGCGCGGCCGGGCGCAGGGCGGCTGCGCGGGGGCGGGGCCGGCGCGGCGCCTGCGCAGTGGCGGGGCGGGGCGGGAAGGAGCGCGGCGGCGGCGGCGGCAGCGGCGGCGGCGGCGGCGGCGGCTGAGGAGGAGGAGGCGCAGCGGGCGGAGGGCGCGCGGGGCGGGGGGTGTTTCTGTCAGTTCCGCCGTCGGTCCGGGAAGTGGGTCCGCCGCGGCCGGAGCCGCCCGGGGAGCCGCGGACCGCGAGGCCAGCCGACCGCGCCCGCGCGCGCGCCGCCCCCGCCCGCCATGGCCCGGGACTACGACCACCTCTTCAAGCTGCTCATCATCGGCGACAGCGGTGAGCGCGGGGCGGCGGCGGCGGCGGGCGGGGCGCGGGGCGCGGCCGCGGGGCCTCGGCGGGCGGCGGGCGGCGGGCGGGGCGGGCCGGGCCGGGCCGGGCCGGGGGCGCGCCCCGAGGGGTCCGGGCGGCGCGGGGCGCGGGCTGAGGCGCTGAGGCGCGCGCGGCGGCGGCGGCGCCCGGGACCCGGCCGAGTGACCTTGGTCGAGTCGCGCCTTCTCCGGAGTTGGCGGGACCCGGGTTCGAGGGGCGGCACCGCGCGCCGCCGCCCGGCGCCGTGACCTTGGGCCAGCGGTTCGGCCGCGCAGAGCCCGGCGCCCTCGGCGCGGGGGGGGGCGTGAGCGTCGGAAGCGGCGCCCGCGCCCCGGGGGGCCCGGCCGGCCTCGCGGCCGCGGCTCAGTTTCCGCCTCTGTGCAATGGACCGGCGGCGGCGGGCCCGGCCCGGCCGACCGCGCGCCGCCGCCCTCGCGCCCTCCCGCCCGGGGCTCAGGGCGCGCCCCCCAGCCCGGGGGCAGGGCGTGGGGTGACCCAGGGCTCGGGGCGGTTTGTGGGTGTCCAGCCCGAGAGCGCGCGGGCGTGTGAGTCGGACACGCAGCGGAGGGTGGACACGGTCACGTGGCTGCAGGCCGACCTCAGACCCGCGTTGAGGGCCAAGGGGGCCCCGTCGGACGTGTAAGATGCAGGCGCGCGCGCGCGCGTGTGTGTGTGTGTGTGTATGGGAGGATGTGAGGGGGGCGGGAGGTCAGACACACAGTGTAATGTGGACGCGGCCCTGTGGCCAGAGCAGGACTTCGGATTGGCATTGAGGACCAAGGGGGCCCCATCAGATGTGTAGGATGTAGGCATATGTTTGTGTGTGTGTGTGGAGGGGATGTCAGGGGAGTGGGCGGTCAGACACGCAGTGTAGTGTGGACACGGGTCACGTGGCTGGAGACAGACCTCAGACCCACGTTTGAGGGCCAAGGGGGCCCCCTCAGATGTGTAGGATGTAGGCATGTGTGTGTGTTTGTGTGTGTGTGTGTGTGTATGGGGGGATGTCGGGAGCAGGCGGTCAGACACCTGTGTAGTGTGGACACGGGTCACGTGGCTGGAGACAGACCTCAGACCGGAGTTGAGGGCCAAGGAGGCCCCGTCAGACGTGTAAGATGTAGGCATGTGCGTGTGTGTGTATGGGGGGATGTCAGGAGCAGGTGGTCAGACACGCAGTGTAGTGTAGACACGGGTCACGTGGCTGGAGACAGACCTCAGACCGGAGTTGGGGGCCCCACCAGATGCGTAGGACCTGTGTGTTTGTGTGTGTATGGGGGGGATGCCAGGGGAGTGGGCGGTTTCGGTCTCCCTGGAGGGCAGGGCTAGGATTGTGGTCAGCGGTTTGGATCAGGTGAAGGATGGCTGAGGTTTCTGTGGTTCCCGGTGGACGGTGAGGGAAAAGTTTGGGGCTAACTTGGGAGCGGAAGAGAAGCTGAGGTTCTGGGTGGGGGCTACAGTTGGAGGGAGGGCAGAGTGCAGGCCAGGGCCATCCCGCCCCTGACCTTCCTCAGGGCCCGTGTGAGCCTGAGGCTTGGAGAGGATCTAACTTCAGTCTTGGCCTTGGTTCTGAGGCACTGGTACCAGCATGAGTCTCTCTTCTAGGTGGGTGGGGGGCACACCCAGCTGTGCTCAGGGATCCCCCGGCAGGGCTGGGGGGACGGTATGCAGTGTCAGGGTTCTTGGCTTGTGTGCAAGGCAAGGGTCTTAATCCCCGTACCATCTCCCCGGCTCTGGACCTGTGCTCTGATAACCCAAAAAGGAGAACATCAACTCGGCAAGACTTCGCACGCAGCTTGTGACGGCTCTCGGGTGCCAGGCCCGGGGCATGTGCTGACCCCTTGTCTGACGCCCCGTTACGTCTTGTGTGGGGTCTTGATATTTTCCCCCTCAGTGGTCAGGTGTGCAAGAAAACTCCCAGGGTCAGGATGAAGGTGGTGTGGCTCCTAGGTCAGTCTGAGCAGAGTCCTCATGTTGTGGAGGGGAGACTGAGGCTCGGTGACTGCGTTTCTCCGGACAGTGAGCTGATGCTCAAAACGGAAGGCTTGAAGGACGGCGAGAAGGTTCGTATGGATGTTCCATCCAAGCTTTGGAAGCTGAGCAGAGAGACTGACATCACGCCGCCCCTGAAGTGGGTGCCCAATGCATGCTTCCCCGAGGGCTACCAGTGCTGTCCCAGACGCTCATGTGGTCCGTCAGATAAGGAAACGCAGGCCCAGAGGGGCTGGCTGATTTGCCCAGCGTGGCGCAGCTTGGCAAGGGCCGGTCTGGGAGTCAGTGCACGTGGATGCTCTGTGTGAGCAGCTGGTGTCAGGCCTGGCAAACAGTGGGTCCTCAGCGAGTGTTAGTTTCTTTCTTTATAAATCTCCAGTTCTTCCCACTCGGCCACATTGTACACACTTCTGGAATAAATCCCCACAGCTTTTGCAGCTCATCTTTTTGCCTGAGGTTCTACACTTTTTCGCTTGCTTTTCTTTTTATGGGACATATTGAGGCCACAGTTGGCTGTGCTCAGGGATCACTCCTAACAGTGTTGGAGGACCGTATGGTACTGGGGATTGAACCCGTGTCATCTGCGTGCAAAGCAAGCTCTTTACTTGATGTTCTGTTGCTTCTGTCCCCTCACACACTTGTCTGACGTTGACTCTCACTTAAAGCATCAGATCCGCTAGGCCAGCCATCCTGTGCCTTGGAATCTGGAGGCCAGAGGGGCCATCAGGGATCTAGAGAAAGCCTTCCACTTGTCCACGAGTGAAGTGAGACTCAGAGAGAGGAAGTCACTTATCTGAGGTTAGACAGTGAACTAGTTCTTGAGACATGGATTAAGTCACTCTCCTCCAAGATCTAAGGTTCTGCAGCATTTCATTTTATGTTTTTGGTTTTGGGCCACACCCGACAGTGTTCAGGTCTTTCCCCAGGTTCTGCACTCAGATCACTCCTGGCAGACTGTGAGTACCACATGGGATGCTGGGGATTGAACCTCGGTTGACTGTGTGTGTCCAAGGTGAATGCCCGACCTGCTATACTAGCTCTCCGGCCCGAAACATTTTAGAATTGCAGCAAAGATGAGTGCAGGGGTGGGACCATAGGAGGAGCTGGTCCGAAGGTGGGGACTTTTGTGGAAGGCGGGATGGGTTTGGGGTCCCACCCAGCAGTGTCCAGGGGTCACGTTTGGTAGTGCTCTGGGGACTGTGCACTGCTGGGGAACAAATCAAGCTTCCTTTATGCAAAGTGTGCAGGTGGGGACTTTTTGTGGAGGTGGTTTGAGAACCAGAGAATCTGTATGGCCCAGAGGCAGAAGGTAGGGGAGCTAGCGTGGAGGGTTGGGGGCTTTGGTGTGGGGAGGGCAGTGATATCTGGAGCGGGGTGTAGGGTTTTCCATCGGATAAATCTATGAACAAATCAGGGTAAATCTGTATCCCGCCGAGAGGCACCCGGTGCTGGGCCTGAGGCTCTTGTAGGGAAAGACAGACGAGGCTGCTGGGTTGCTGAACTGTCAGACTCCTGGCTGTAGGCTTGGCTGTGGGAAGGGGAGATTGGTACCTCTCACTTCCTCCCTGAGGCCCACGCTGGGCGGAGAGTGGTAGCAGAGTGGCCCAAGAGGCCTCTGCCAGGGATATTTTGGAGGTGCCATTTCTGGAGCTGCTCTCACGGAGATGCACTTCTCAGGGTGGATTTCCCTGCCTCTCCAAGGGAAGCACAATGGCGGGTGCCCGTGTCAGGCCCAGAGCGGCGGTGACTGTGACTGGCCTGGTCCCTCCGTGGCCCTGTGGTTTCCAGCAGCTCTGCAGAGAAGTACGGGGTGACTAAAGGAGTCTCCGCTGCTTGTTGCTTCACACACTGGGAGCGCCTCTCTGATCTGTCTTAGATATAGTTTAATTGCAAAAACAACAACAGAAAGGATTCTGTGATTCCCCCCAAAGTTTGAAGTCCCCATCTTGTCTCCTGTGAAGTGCTGTGGTTGGGAGTGGTGGTTGTCAGCGAGATTGGCTTGTGTTCACTTATGGATCCATTCAGCTGTGTTGGAGGTGCCTACCAAGTGCCAGGCCTAGCTGCAGCCCCTGAGTGTCCCCATGTTGGCAAGGCTCCCTTCCTGAGCCACTTGCAGTGCCCCTAAGGTCAGCTTTGAGCTGAGTAAGCAGGCCCAGAAGGCTCCAGAAGGAAGCAGAGGAGCCTGCAGGGCTGTGGGTGTCGGCATGGGACAGAGCACGGTGAGGGACCCAGCCCAGGACATTGGCGCTCCTTAGGCTCAGCAGGAAGACGGCAATGAGGAAGTGGCTGTGAGCAAGAGTGCAGCCGGCCTGGGGCCTGAGCAGCAGGTACTGTGGGTACAGGGCTGGTGTGCCCCGAGCCACGCCTCCAGCCTCTCTGAAGGCGGGACCCAGGTTCATACCCTGCAACAAGTTTCTGGGCCCCCCTTAACAGACTGCTCACTTGGAGAACCTGCAGGAGGTCAGCGAGGCCAGCTGGAGATTGTCAGCTGTAGAGATGCACAGTATGGATGGGGACAGCATGAGTGTCCTCTCTGAGCTCTCCCCACGGACAGGCACGTGCACCCTCGGGACTGCCTGAGACCCTGAGTTAAGGTGGCGTCGTGCCTGGCTTTGATGGCATCCAGGCGCCCAGTCTCACCCGAGTGGAGCCTGGGAGCTGCTCTCACTCTCTTTATTCCACTTCCTGAAACGGAGGGAGGACTCCCAGGCAGTGTCTTGAAAAGAGCTTCAGGGCTCTGGAGTGGCCAGCCAGAGCCCAGTTCCCTCTGCACTTCCTGCAGGCTTTAGGCCAGCTGCTTAGCTATTGCTGCCACCCCCCCCCCCCCTTTTTTTTGGATCACACCCGTCTGTGCTTAGGGCTCACTCCTTTGTGCTCAGGGATCATTCTTGGCAGGGCTCAGGGGCCAAGGTGTGCTGGGACCTGGATTGGTCATGTGCAAGGGAAGCACCCTACCGGCTGTACTATCGACTGCCTTTTTACTGCCTTACTTCCTCTTTCTTTCTTTCTTTCTTTCTTTCTTTCTTTCTTTCTTTCTTTCTTTCTTTCTTTTTCTCTCTCTCTTGTACCAGGAATCAAACCCAGGGCCTCACAGATGTCTGGCAGGCAGGAACTTTACTGCTGAACTCCATCCCCAGCCCGAACCACTTAGCTTCTTGGTTACATCATCTTTGTTTGTTTGTGTTGGCCACACCTGGTGGTACTCAGAGCTTACTCCTGGCAGGACTCAGGTGTTGTTGGGGATGGAACCCGCTCAGCTGTGTGCAGGACAAGCACCCTACCCCCTACGCTGTCGCTCGGCCTTTGGTCCCTCGTCTTAAGGGCTGTTCCTGAGGGGCAGGGTTGCGACTCAGCGGTGGAGCCTTGCATGTGTGAGGCTCTGGATTCAGTTCCTGGCACTGCACAGTCCCTCCCGAGTACTGTCGGGTGTGGTCTTCGTAGAAGAGGCGCACTTGGGATGGCAGAGAGCGCGTTCAAAGGGCTGGAGAGTGTGCTTTGCAAGAGGGAGCCTGGGCTCAGTTTGGCCCTGGGTGGTCTTCCCAGAGCCACCACAGAACCAGCGTTAGCCCCGAGCACCGCTGGGCGTGGCGTGACGTCCCTTCTCTCCTGGGAAAGAGGCAGTTGGATTAGTGCAAGTGTCCACCCTCCCGCCTGCCACACAGGAATTCTTCCCTTCTGTGTGCACGTGACCCAGCTGGTCTGAGGGGTGGGGGTGGGACACTCGGGGCAGGTGCCCCCGCAGAGGCTGCCGTGCGTGCCCCCGGGCTTGTGGGGGCCCTGCCATGCTTAGACCAAGTGTGCCGGGTGATGCTGCGGGAAGTGAGATGGCCTGAGGCCTGCGGGGAGACCGGCCGGGCGCCCAGGGCTAAGGCAGACACCCGCTTCCGCCCCGCCAGCAGCAGGATCGTGGGTGGGGACGCTGGCCACACTTGCGTCCAGTCGTCTGGGCTGGTCTCTTCACCTGCAGAGCAGCCCTGGCCCCCTCCACGCTGCTCCCTCGCCCGGCAGCGCCTGCCTCTCCTTGCTGTGCCTGTGCCGTGCAGTTGCCCAGGACCATGGCTTAGGCCCCTTGGGGCCCGCTCCCACTTAGCTGCCGTCCGTGCTGGATTTTTGTCGTCTGGGCTCTTCTTCCGGCTCCTGGGGCCGGCCTCCAGCATGCATGGACTTGAGCCCCGGGGCTTAGCTCTCCAGGGCCTCTGGGAGTCGCTGGTCTTCTGTGAAGGAGGAGAGAAGGCCGAGACTGAGTGCGGGAGGTGGTCCTGGCCAGGGGCTGGGGGCATGCAGAGCAGCGCTGCAGGCCGGGGGGCCGGGAGGGGATCTGCACCCGTCTCATCTCCCGCCTTCTCTCCTGCAGGTGTGGGCAAGAGCAGTTTACTGTTGCGTTTCGCAGACAACACTTTCTCAGGTGAGTTGCTCCTGCCTTGCTTTCATCACCTGGCTGGGGAGAAGCAGAGGGAGGCAGAGGCCAGAAGTCTGTGTCTCTTGGTCACACAGATGCTTTCGTGGGTCCATCATTTTCTTCCCCAGTGTTGTATTGGGCCGCAACTAAGGTAGTTTTAAAAAAAAACAAGATCACAAGTCAGTACATGCCAGTAAGAAATTTCAAACCGGAAGACTTGAGTGAAGTAGAAAATGAAAGTTGTCCCTTCACCTGCCCGCCTGGGGCCCCGGCAGCCTGGGTTCAGGGTGCTGCCGATCTCTCCTTGTTTTCATCGGACCACAGACCCCGTCGCTTCTGGCGAATGCCTGGGTTTCCTGGCTCGTGCCCGGCTGCATGTCATTTGTTCACAGAGCTCTGGAGAGGTGCTTTCTGGTGCTGTGTTGGTGGCGGAGGGCCTGGGGCGGGCCCTGTGCGTTTGCACTTATTGCCACTTGTGGCCAAGTCTTCTTTCACAGAAGCAGTAGTGACTTAAACTGACGGTCCCAGGAAAGGATGGAGTCTGAAGGGCCCCGTGTCTCCTCGGGCATGTGGTTTCTGTGTCTCAGTGCAGAGCCAGCGGAGAGAAATGGCCAGGGTGATCCCGCTCTCCAAGTGCTGGCAGCCTTGCTTCCTGCCAGTTCCCGAGGCAGGCATGTGGCTGGGACGTCAGTTTTAGGTGACTCTGGCTCAGGACCGATGTGTGAGTGTCGTGGGGAATTTCCTATGATGTGGTTTGAAGGGCCGGCTGCAATTAGGAAGTGATTACATGGCTAATTAGGAAGTGGGTTTTGCCCTCCTTCTCTCCTGGGCTGGCCTGGCACCGCCACCCGCTAGTGGATTCGGCAAGACCGGGGTCTTCCTGAGCGCTCTTGGGGCACTGGACTCTCCCGCACGGGAGCAGGGTGCAGGACGGGGAACTGCAGAGAAGCTGTTTGTGGTACTGCTGCCTTCTGCTCTGGCTGGGAAACTCTCTTCTTCCCCCCCCCCCCCCCCCCGCCAATCTTAAAGGCACTTTTGTGTGTCCCTGTTCTGCAACCAGCTGCTAGGGTCTGCTCGACGTTGGCTTGCCAACAGCCTCCCACCTACCCAGGCCTGGGACCTCCTTACTGGCTTGGCTCTGTTGGGGTCTTCCCTCTCATTGTCCCCCTATTCCCTCCTTTCGTGGGGGTGTGCTGGGCCTGGAATACGGAGCCTCACCCCTGTATGCCAAGCCTAGGCTCCTTGGGGCCTTCTTTTTTTTTTTTTTAATGCCACACCTAGTGGTGCTCAGGGCTTACTCCTGGCTCTGTGCTCAGAAAACCATGGGAATCTAACCCAGGTCAGCTAAGGCAAGGCAGGTGCCCCACCCCCTGTGCTGTCTCCTGGGCTCGGTCACCTTTTCCTCCCTGAACAGCGTTTTCAGTGAGATCTGGCCCCGTGGCTCTGGCGTGCTGATGCTGGTTGCTGTCCTGTGCGTGGTGGGGTGCTTCTACTCACAGGTCAGCTGCTCGGCCAGCACTGTCCCAGCCCAGACTGGCTCCAATACTAATGCAGTTGCCTCTGGGGGTCACAGCCCTGCAGTGTGGGGAAAATTCGGGTTTTCAGGCTCCATCTCAGGGCCACGTCCAGCTTCCTCTCTTGCTGTTTGTTCTTTGGGTTTTGACTCGCGTGTGCACTTGGCCATGGGTGTGGCACTAGCTGGGCCACACCCATACCCGTGGTGTTCCACAGTGTTTGCTGCGTGCCAGCTGTTGTCTTTTCCCCGAGCCGAACTTTCTCTGGGCTTTGCCCTCAGCCTTTTCTCACTCAGCTTTTGAAAGTGTACCTGTGCTTCCTAGCTAGGCCCAGGATGACTTCTTGTAGGGATCTTCATTGGGACCCTCCCACCTTGAACTTTGACCTTCCATGAACTTGGCACACTTCCTGGTGTGTGTGTGTGACTATGGCACTGTGTACTCTATGGTCAGCTCCAAAGAGAGCTGGAAGATAAGCATTGCGTTTCCCTCCTTCCCTCCATCCCTCCATTCCCTTTTTTTTCTTCCTCCTCCCCTCCTCCCCTCCCTCTCTCCCTCCCTCCCTCCCTTGTACTTTGGGTTACACTCTGCGGTGCTCTGCGCTTACTCCTGGCTCTGCACTCAGGGATCACTCCTGGCAAGCTTGGGGGACCATATGGGCATCAAACCCGGGTCAGGCACGTGCAAAGGAATCGCCCTACCTGCCATACCATCTCTCCAGCCCTGAGTTAGGCTTTTTTATATGCCCAGACTAACTTTTTCAGGACAGACGTTATTGCTCCCCCCTCCACAGATGCCCCAGAGGGCCACTTCCAGGGCCACCCTGCTCCTCCCAAAACCCCTTCAGTGCCACCATCACATCCAAGGAGCCGGAGCTCCCAGGAAAGGCCTAGATAGCATTGAGGCCCCGCTCTGCACCCCCAACCCTGTCTCCCACCCTGGGCTTGGCCTCACTCGACACCTGTGGCTATTTTTGCTACTGTCTCCTCGGCCTGAAACAGCATTCTTCAAGCTGCAGGTCTTAACTTGTTTGTATGTTAGGGTGTTAATTTTGTGGGTCCTTTAGATCTGGGGACTCAGACGGACAAAGAAACCCTGCGTGACTCCTCAGTTAGCCATCGCCCCAGACTGCTCCGACTCGGGTGCCTGTCCCCCCCCCCCCCCCCTTCAGAGCCTGGGTGTCCTTCCTCACCCTGTGCCTCATTTCATTGTGGCGGGTCTGTCGCCCTCGCCTTGATTGCCCCTCCTGGGTGTGGGCTCCTGGTTTGTCTGGCCCTGGTCCTTGAACGCATCGGGAGGGGTCCCGGGCCCGGCGTCCGTGCTGACATGTGTGTGTGCAGGCAGCTACATCACCACAATCGGAGTGGACTTCAAGATCCGGACCGTGGAGATCAACGGGGAGAAGGTGAAGCTGCAGATCTGGGACACGGCCGGGCAGGAGCGCTTCCGCACCATCACTTCCACGTGAGTCTGCTGGGCCCCGGGGCCCGGACACCCGGTGCTCACGTGGGCCTCTGAGGCCGAGGGTCGTGAGCTCCTTGCTGGCCCAGGGGTTGGCTCCGTCCTTTCTCTGGAAGGGCTGAGATGAGGCTGGGGCGGGGGCGGCCGCAGGTGGGCAGTGACCCAGCCCTGTGCTGGGAGCAGGTGTTCCTGCCCTTCAGTCTCCCTCGTCGTGGGGTAGCGGGGGAGGGCAGCTGCCAACTTACAGTGACTCCGGTGTGTGTCGGTTGGCAGGCTGGCATTGCATCACTTGCCCTGACTTCTTGGAGGAGGCGTCTCTCGGGGGCGATTGGGACCCCACCAGCAGCAGCACCTGGGCAGTGCTTGGCTGCAAATCAGGAAACCCAGTTGGGGCTGCATACAGCAGGGGTCTGCAAGGGGTTTCGGGTCCAGGGCTCATGCGCTGTTCACCGGGGGTTCCAGGAACGACCAGGGCTTTGACGGCAGCAGCTCGGAATTCAATTCACACACACATTGTGCTGTGTGACCTTGGGCAAGTTGCCTAAACTCTCTGTTTCAGTTTCCCAGAGTAACTATCTTTTTCTCTTCTTTGATTCTGGGGGCACATCGCATGTTGCTCAGACTTTACTTCTGGCTCTGTGCTCAGGGATCACTCCTGGTGGGGCTCAGGGGACCATATGGGATGTTGGGGATCAAACCCAGGTTGGCTGTGTGCAAGGCGCCTTAAACTCTGTGCTAGCTCACCGTGCCCTTAGGGATCGCCTTTAATACCGAGTCCTGCGTGTGGGTTCTTGGCGCTTTGGGCTTCTTCACTTTGTTTTTCTGTTGCTTGGTTAGTTTTGGGGTCAGACCCGGCGATGCTTACTCCTGGCTCTGCATTCGGGGATCTCTCCTGGTGGGGCTTGGGACCGTGTGGGGCGCTCGGGATGGAACCAGGGTCGGGCATGTGCAGGACAAGTGCCCTCCCCGCTGTGCTCTCGCTCCGGCCCCCGTCTGTCCTCTCATCGCTGTTCCGATGACTTTGTTTTGCGGTTGGGCCATACACAGCATTGCTCGGGGGAAGATGTGGGTCGGGGGGCACAGCTTGGACAGGAGCACCACCTCCTGGAACCGGCCCCCTGGCGTCTCTGCTGGTGTTGTCCCATGGCACAGATGAGGAGTTTCTGATGAGCCCTGTGCCCCGTGGCGACTTTGCTGCTCCTTCGTCTCTGCAGCAGTTGGCTGGCAGTGGGGCTCTTGGGGTCCCGGGCCCGGCGTCCTTGCTGACATGTGTGTGTCATCCCTGGCTGGAGACTTCTCCCCTCGGAGGGGACAGTCCAGCCTAGGGCCATCCTGGACCATCAGTTGTGCCATGGGGGGAGAGTGAGGGGTGAGGGTCTCCTAGGGTGATGCCTGGCAGTGTCTGGGGATGTTGGGGGGCTGGAGGTGCTGCTCCTGGGTTAACCTGACCGGGAACCCAGGATCCCTGGGTCCCCAGTTGTGAGAGTCGCCCCATGTCGCCATGAGTCTGTGCCCTTCTCTCTTCATTGTGTCCCAGCCGCTTCCCACAGAACCTTCTGGGAAGGCAGCTGGGGCTGGAGGATGCGTGGGGGTTGGGATTGAGCTTTGGGGTGCCTGAGCATCCAGGCCAGAGCAAGGACTTATCCAAGCATAAGTCCTTGTGACAGATTGGGTTCAGGAGGTCTCAGCACCAGTTGGTTCCAGGTGGGCTGAGAGTGTGACTAGGGTCTTCATCAGCATTACTTCATTCACCCCGATAAATAGTCCCATGACAAGAAAACGGAGGCTGACAGAAGGTGACTTTGGTTGGTTAGTCAGGAATTGAATTAAGGTCCTTAATGTCCGTCTAATTCCAGAGTTCTTTATCTATTTAGTTTTGTCTTGGGGGCTACTTCTGGCTCTGAGCTCAGGACCATGAGATTCTGCTCTATGCAGGAAAGGCAGACGGCGCCGCCACCCGCCCTGCACATCTCTCTGGCCCTGCTGTGGGCCGGCCTGGCGGGGGGGCCCCTGGTAGATGCGCTTGTGTTCCTGGTGGCTTCAAACTTCAGGGACTGGACACTGGTAGCTGCAGGAAGTGTCAGGCAGGGCAGTGGGGTACTTCAGCTGGGAGCCCCTGTCCCCCGTTCAAACACCCCCCCCCCCCCCCCCCGCCTCGCTGCTATGACCAGCTCCCCGCAGTGTGGCCAAGGAGCACGCCTGTCCCTGCTAGAAACTGTCATGGTGGGCACTTTGGCTCGGCCCCCACCTTCCTGCCTGTCCCTTCCTCCCATCGTGGGTGCTGAGGGTCGCCCCATCTCTAAGGCCCTTGTTCCGCCCTGTGGTGGTCACTGGCAAAGGAAGGAGGAGGGTAGGAGCGTTTGCTCTTGGGGGTTGGGGTGGTCAGGGTGCGAACATGTGGTCTTTGCCCATGCCGGGAGTTGGGGGTTCAGCCAGTGGCCTCGGGAGTTGGGGGAGGAGGGACATGCCTTAGTACCTGCACTGGACCGTGGCACCTAACTTCAGGCCAGTCTTCAGTGGGCCAGTGGTGACTGTCGTGCTGGGAGCTGCAAGGATGGGTGAGAGGCGGGTGTCCGTCCCACCGTGAGCCAGATGCAGAGTGCCACCATGGTGCTGGGCACCAGAAGCCGTGTCTGCAGGAGTTCTCTGGGCAAATGTACCCTACTTGGGCCCCCGTGGGCCTGGTGGTCCCAAAGGAGCAGCCGGACCTTTGTGCTGGGGCCACGCAAGAGGCGTCCTTCGCATCATCCTCAGCATAGGGAGGTGCAGAGACCAGCATGACCCCTAGTCTTTGCCCTGCTCAGGGAGGTGACCACTAGGCGGAACTGGGTGACAGTGTGGCCCTCTCAGTGGCGGTTGGTTCTGACAGCCTATGCAGGGGCAGTTGCGGCATGGTGGGGGCAGATTGGGGGTGGAGAGCGGGGCCAGGGAGCCAAGTTGGGCTCCTCGGGCACCAGCCTCTGGGGCTGCCTCGCCTGCTGTCCTTGGTTTTGTCCCCCTGTGTGGACAGCGGTTCCAGGGAGCGAGACTGCGACCCTGGGCAGGCGCGGGCAGCTGTGGCAGTGACGGTATCTGGGGGCAGTGGATGTCCTCGGACCTTGCCCTCCCGAGCCAGTGAGCCGAGGGGCTTGGGGGCTTGGGGGAGGGAGGCTGTATCTGCTGCTTCGCAGACCAGCTGGCGTCACGCCGTGAGTCCCCCTGCCTGCATGGTGGCAACTCGGGACTGGCCTCCCTCATGTTCCTGGAGAGCCAGCGGGTCCCTGCAGTCCCTGCCACAGCGTGAGGCGCCCAGGGGGCAGGAAAGTGGGCATCCGCCTGCTCCAGAAAATTGGCTGAAGACTTAGGCAGCGCTTCAGGAGTGGTGCCTCGGGCTTATTTCTTTATTATTTTGTGGGGACTGCACACCCAGTGGGGCTCAGAGATCACGTGGTTCTGGACTTTGCCCGGGGAGCCATGCGGTGCCAGGCTTGGCCTGTGCAAGGTGTTTGCTCCAGGAGTCCTCTGAGCTATCTCCCCAGCCCCAAGGGGTTTTTCTCCTTACTCCCGTCTCTGCCGCTGCCCGTTGTTCTTGTGAAGATGGGATCACCCGCCGGGCTGCCACACGGCAGGGCGCCGTGGTCCTGCTCCGGCGCTCCTCCGGCCTCTTCCGGTATCTCTGCTCCAACTGGCATTTGAAGAAAGAACATTTGGCTGTTACTGTGGTTTTGTTCTTTTTTTGTTTGTGGGCTACACTCAGTGTGGCTCAAGCTTACTCCTGGCTCTGTGCTCAGGGATCGCTCCTGGTAAGGTTCAGGGTTACGTGGTGCCAGGGATGGAATCTGGGTCAGCCACGTGCAAGGCAAGTGCCTTACCTGCTGTACTATTGCTCCAGCCCTGGAAAAACATGTCTGACTCAGACAATGTGACGACCATATTTTGCCTGAATTTGACGAATCATTTGTATTTAGAAGTGTAACAAGAGCCTCAAAGAAATTTCAGGCTCTTGGCTGAGCGAACCATGTGTTTTGCCCGTCTCGGCCCGGGTATAGTGAGGTAGAATGCTGGGCAGTGCTGCCGAGCGCCCCCTCACCCGGCGGGGCATGGTCAGCACGGGCAGGCACGTGCCCGCCACTGTGCCCAGCTGCTGTCAGGCTCGGGCAGGCGAGTCCTAACCCAGGGGTGGCTCAGCACGGTAGAAACTCTTACACAGACCTTGGCCCTGACAGGTATTATCGGGGGACCCACGGCGTCATCGTGGTTTATGACGTCACCAGTGCAGAGTCCTTCGTCAATGTCAAACGGTGGCTTCACGAAATCAATCAGAACTGTGACGACGTGTGCCGGATATTAGGTGAGGCTGGCCTGTGGGTAGGCGGTGGGGGGCCTGCAGGTGGGGGTGCTCTCGCGGGGCGGGGCTGACTCTGCTTTACCTTGAAGTGGGGAATAAGAATGACGACCCCGAGCGGAAGGTGGTGGAGACAGAAGATGCTTACAAGTTCGCTGGGCAGATGGGCATCCAGTTGTTTGAAACCAGTGCCAAGGAGAACATCAATGTGGAAGAGGTGAGGCGGGGGAGGGGGCGCGGGCCGGGCTCCCCTCCGCCTCCATAGTAACTGCTGCCTGTTGACAGGCTCTTTCAAGGGCCGGCTCTCCCCTCAGCCCTTCTCCGAGGTCAGTTAGTCCCACGCTTAATTTTGTTTTTGTTTTTTTGGGCCACACCTGACAGTGCTCAGGAGTTACTCCTGGCTCTGCACTCAGGAATCTCTCCTGACAGTGCTGGGGATCATATGGGATGCCGGGGATCGAACCTCGGTCGGCTGCTTGCAAGGCATGCACCCTCCACCGCTGTACGCTCTCTCTCTGGCCCCTACTTCCACGCTTTGTATTTTGTTTAGTTTTTGATGTTTGGTACTCTGAGCTCCTTGCTGGGCTTTCTGCTTGGGGATTGCTTCCGGCTCGGTGCTCAGGGAACCGTGCAGTGCTGGGTTTGGGCCTGGGCCTCCTGCCCGCCAAGCCTGCACAGATGCTGACCTTTCTCTGGCCCATATTCCCACTTGCTGTTTTCTTTTTGTTTGGGGGTCACAGCCAGAGTGCTCAGGGCTTACTCTACGCTAGGAATCACTCCTGATGGGATTCGGGGGACCAAATGGAGCTCTGGGGATCGAACCCAGGCTGGCGATGTACAAGGCAAGCACCCTTACTCGCTATATTCTCTCCACCTCCCCCACCCCCAACCATTCCCTTTTTTTGGTAAAGTACCTGGGCCAGAGTGAGAGTTGATAGCACAGTGGGGAGGGCGTTTGCCTCATAAGTGGCTGACTTGGGATTGATCCTCAGCATCCCATATGCTCCCCTGAGCACCACCAGGAGTAATCCTTGAGCATTGCTGGGTATGGCCCAACCCTGCCCCGCCCCCCACCAAAGAAGTATAGCATTTAAGTTAGATTTGTGAGCGGGGAGAGACAAATACATGTTCAAGAGAGCACACGGGCTGAGGTTTCGACTTAGGGACCCTCACCCAGCTTGTAGTCCCGTCTCCGCCTCTCAGCCCATTCTCTGTCATCCTCCCTGCTCAAAGGCATTTCCTGAGGCCAGGTTACTTCCTGTGGTCAGCGGGCACCTGCTCTGGGCCCCACAGGCTCCTGATGGCCCAGGCATCCACACAGGCCGAGCCTCCTGCCTGCAGAGTTTCCTTTGCATCTCCTGGGCCTGCTGGAAAATAAGTGGTTCTGTGGGCAAAAACCCCAACCCTCTGCCACAAGCTCAGGCCGGAGCACAGAGGCTCAGGGAAGCAGGGGTCCTCACTGTACCCCGGCTTGTAATGGACTGTCCTGTTCAGCCCTGCGTGCCCCAGGTTTCTTTGGCAGGGACCTACCTACTGTAGGTCACCTCCTTGGTTCCTTCTGTAGACTTGGGGGCTAGAGGGAGAGCCATACCTCTGGGCAGAGTTAAGTCCGGCAGATTGTCAAGTGCTTGTCTCACAGTGCTCAGTAGATGTTCCCTTGGCTTTCCTGGATGTCGTGGGGCTAGAGCAGAGCCTGACACCACAGGGGCGTCTTGGGATGGTCTTAGGAAGGTTCTAGGCAGGACATGCAGTGAGGGGGCATGCTGGCTGCTTGGGTACCTTTGCGTCCTCCCAGCCGGTCACCACGGTAGAGGTAACTTATCTGTATTTCCAGAAGATCCCAGCTGAGTGAAAAGGCTTCTTTTTACAGAAGAAAGGTCAGGGGGTTGGGGTCGGAGTGATAACACAGCGGGTAGGTTGCTTGCCTTGCATGCGGCCGACTCAGGTTCAGTCTGCGGCATATCCCATATGATCTCCCAGGCACTGCCAGGAGTAATTCTTGAGTGTAGAGCCAGGAGTCATCCCTGAGCATCGCTGGGTGTGACCCAAAAAACAACAACAAAAAGGCGAGGGGGCCAGAGAAAGTATAGGGGTAGGGCCTTTGGCTTGCGTGCAACTAACTGCCTGGTCCTTGGCACTGCATCTGCTCCGCCAAGAGCCAAGAATAGCCCCAGAGCATTGCTGGATGTAACTCAGCTCTCCTCATTTTCTCCCCCAAATTAAGATCAGGGTCCAGGGAGAAGGCTCGTGGGGCTGAAGTACTGCTTTGCATGCAGGAGCCCTGGGTTCAGTCCCCAGCCCCTCAGAGTCCCCCAGACAGTATTGGGAACAGCCCTCCAGCTCCGAGCTGGCAGTAAACCTAGGGTGGCTCCAAACCCCAAAACGTACATTTTTAAAAGTTTTTAGAGAAGTTAGAAAATTCTTGCCAGATTGGTTTATTTGGGGGACCGGGGGTGGGGATGGTTTGGGCCACACTTGTGTGTGCAGGGGCTACTTCTGTGCTCACTCTGTCCGTCTGTCTTTCTGGCCTGGACTTCCCTTTTGGCTTTTTGGGGGGCATGTCTGAGCAGTAGTGCCGCCTGACGTTATAGGCAGGCCGAGTGAAATGCTGTTCAGGCCCAGTGGTGCTGGGGACCACCAGAAACTCCCTAGGAATGTCTGGGTTGGGGGCATGCGGTGCTGGGGAACGATGGGCCTTTGAACATACAAAGCGTGCATTTCACACCTGAGAGCTAATTTTTTTTTCCTTTTGGGTCACACCCGGCGATGCACAGGGGTTCCTCCTGGCTCTGCACTCAGGAATTACCCATGGCGGTGCTCGGGGAACCGCCTGGGAATGCTGGGAATCGAACCCGGGTCGGCCGTATGCAAGGCAAACGCCCTACCTGTGGTGCTGTCGCTCCAGCCCCTGGGAGCTCATTTTTGATAGTTAATGAACCAGCTCTCCCAAGGGCGGGTGTGTAGACAGCGCTGGGCTTGGGGGGCATGGCAGCAGGTGTAGCCCTGACGGGGCCTCTTCGCTGGGTCTGAGGGTGCACCTGCCTCTTGCATCCTCACAGATGTTCAACTGCATCACAGAGCTGGTCCTTCGAGCCAAGAAAGACAACTTAGCAAAACAGCAGCAGCAACAACAGAACGACGTGGTGAAGCTCACGAAGAACAGTAAACGAAAGAAACGCTGCTGCTAATGCCCCCAGCCCACCGCAGAGACTGCACTGTGGCCCGCGGGCCCTAGGGGACAGGCGCAGTTTTGTGCCGTTATTTAAAGAATCCTCTCCACGTTTTTTGTATCGGGAGGCGCCATCGGCACTTCCGCCCCTCCCCCCTTGAGTGCCAAGAAGGTGTTGGACAAGCCCGCCCTGCCCTTCTGGTGCCCCTGCTCCCCGGCCAAGGTGCTCGGGCCCGGCGAGGACAATGCCAGCTGAGCGAACTGATTAACCAGATTTTGTACATAATGTATATTGCTTTAACCAGCCACATCACCTTCGTCCTGCTCAGGCTTTTGCCTCCATAATGCCAACCTGCTGCAACAGACCCTTCCTGCCCCGCCCCGCCCGCCCCGCCCCGTCTTTCTTCAGCAGCCTCTTGAGACCGGATCGTGTCCTCGCTGAGCTTCCACCAGCCAGGAAACGCAGAGTGGGTCCCAGGCCTCCCGCTCGCTTCTGCAGGCCGCAGCCGTACTTGGCACGAAGGGTCTCTCCAGGGCGTGAGCTGTCTGTTCCCAGCCCGTCTCTCCCCCCGCAGCAGGAGTCACGCCTGCCCTTTGGCCAACAGATCTTGTGTCCTGCCCTCTAGAGGCCCGAGCTGCAAACCCAGGGAAGCCCTGGCTTCTAATTTAGACCACCAAATCGCAGTTCCCACAGGAAGGGTGTGTATGTGCCGGGACAGGGCTTGAGGGTGGCTGCGGGGCATTATTTTGACTGATAAAATGAAGCCAAATCAAATTCAGTTCCTCATCCTTATTTTCCTGAGCGGCAAGAGTGGCCTCCCCGCTCTGGGGCCAGTGTTTTTAGAAAAGTGAATGGCTTCCTGTCATTGTGGGTTCTTGGCAAAGCAGCTCTGCCTTCCTGGCCGCTTTTTGGGGAAGGAGGGGCCTCCCACCTCGTCTCTGCTGGTCCAGGGCCTCCAGGGGGCTCCTGGGTCTCGGCGCAGGGGTATGCGCCAGGGCTGCTGCCTTGGAGCTGGCGGCAAGGGAGGTTGGCAGCACTGGCGGCACTTGCTTCCGTGCTAAGTAGCTTGAGGATTTCTTAGTGGCTGGGAAAGGCCAATCCCACTATGGCTGGGGGCCAGCTCTGCCCCACCTCTGTCCCCTGGAGGAGAAACCGGGGTCGCCTGCACTTGATTTCCGCTGCCCCCTCAGGACACTTCATCCCCCTTTCCCCTAAAAAGGATCACGTTACCTGGGAATAACTGAATTCAGCATCATGATGTGTTTTATGAGATTTCTTTTTTCTAGGCGATTTCCAGGCAAAGCTCTGATTGGACAATCATCACAGATTACGTTGCAGATTTTCCATGTTAACATTGTTGATGGGTTTTTAATCAATAAAAGAGCTGGGGTTTCTTCTGACCCGTCTCTCCACTTCCCGAAACCGCCAACGGCCTGAGGCTGTGACAGGCCTCCCTGCCCGGACCAGAGGCGGCCTGGGCCTGGGAACTTGGTGCTCTGGGGGGTGCCGCAGGGCAGCCCCATCTGGTTGGCCAGGAACTGCAGTGTGGCCTTGGCCTTGCTCCCAGGGCCGGGCCCTTCTGGCGGCTATTCTGGGTCCGGGGAGGCTGTGGCCTACTCCATCAGGCGTTCAGGCCGTGCCAGTGTGGCAGTAAGCAATAAGAGGGTGGGCGTCTTGGAAGCTTCCAGCAGACTAGACTCCACCGTGGCTCATGACAGCTGGACCTCCAGACCCAGGTGGTGGGTGATTTGGCGACAGTGTGCCTGTTCTGCTGAATGTCACGCGCATGATTTGGGGGTGAGGGAGGGGGGCTCGGAGGGCTGGATCGATGTCCTGGTGGCTCTGATGTGAAATTCCTGTCGAACAGCTAAACTTTTCAATGGTTTGCTAGGAATATTTCTGTATTGAAAGTTTCTAATTATGCTTTTTTAAAAAATACTAAAAATAAAGGTTCAAGCTGCCACGTGTTCTCCTAGGGCCTGTTTCCTCTCATCCAGCCGCGCTCTGAGTGGTCCAGGCTGCTGCCCCCCCTATGGGTGCACGTCCTTGTTTGCTCCTAGGCCCACAGACCCCGTCGGGAGCCGCGTTCGTTTTCTCTGGAAGGCCGGTCCAGGGGAGCGCACGAGATGCGACGCCAGGGGAAGTGCCCTGTTTACTCTGTGCGCCCGGAAGGATGCCTGCAGTGCTTTCTGCCAGGCTGGACGTTTCTGCCAAAGTCTAAGTCCACTGGAAGCTTAGGAAGCAGTGCCTGGGGCCTGTCAGAGTGGGCGCGCGCTGCCGGCATGGAGACGAGGCCGGGATTTGGGCTGCTGGCCTCCAAGGGTGGTCACTGTCAGGGTGTCTGCACCATCTAGAAAGGTGCTCCTGCCTGGGTGCATCCACCAACTGGGGGACTGCCCAGCTGTGCGGGGCGTGCCCACCGTGGCTGCCCCTTCATAGCCAGCTACGGGCCATTCTGACCCAACCGTACCTCCAGGGAGCCAATGACTGAGGCAGAAGCTCTGTAGAAATTCATTTTATTCTTATTTAGACTATTTCCAAAAGAAGCAGTGATGTGCTGTTTTCTAAAAATATGCCTTTATAGATTTATATATAATAGGTGTATTATAAAATTCATACATGTATTTACATGATTGCTACATACAAAATTACAGCACTGTGGTATGTACATATCTATAGGTACATTCTTTCTGCTCGTCCCTGCTGTGCTTTCCCACGGGAGGGAGGGAGATGAATCCACTGGGAAGCATATTGGGGGCTGCCGTGGCTGCCCGCCGGCGCTCGAGTCGGGGCCTCAGCAGGGAGGGGGGCCGGCCGCTGAGGGCGGCAGAAGCAGCTGCTTCCAAGATTCATCCTTCTGCAGGCTGGCTGGGCAGGAAATGGGGCATCTACCTCGCGGTGCCAACCCTGCCCTCGAGGTGGCGGTGGTTACCGTGGACCATTCTGGGGGGCTGAGCCAAGAATTCGTGTAGGTGGGGGAAGTGAGGCCGGTGAGGGACCCCCTTGCCCTTCCTCCGGGGCCCAGCCAGGCCTGCAGCGCTGCACGCTGGGTCTCGGCAGGAGATGCTCCCAGCAGAGGTGCACGCACGTGGGGGAGAGGCCCCTTCATTCCCGACTCCCCAGGCAGGGATCGAGAGACAAGACTCGGGCCTGCAGCAGGGCATCGTGGCTCGCTCCCATGTTCCAAAGCAGGAGAGGAGTGTGCCTGGAGTGGGGAGCTGGAGCGACCAAGGGGTGGGGTGGGCGGGCGGGGGGGGGGCTGGTTCTCACCCATGGGTCCGAGCAACAGAGGCAGCCCGAGCCTCGCTCGCCCAGCAGCGGCTCCCTGGCAGCGAGGGCTGCCCCTCGTGCCCTGATGTTGGGGACAGCTATCAGAAGCTGAACGGCCCTGCCAGGACAGCCCAGGGGAAGCTAGGGTGTGTCCCCCGTGCGCTGGACCCCGCCCGCACCCCTTCCAGCCGCCTCCAGCCCATCCACCCACCCGCAGTAGTCAGTTCCTCTGCGCTCAGATTTTCCTGAAGAATGAGAAGAGCCTTTTGCCTTCGGCGGAGCTGGGCTCGGCCCCGCGCCCTGCAGCCCGGGCCCTGGAGAAGGCGGCAGCGGGCCGGCTCCGTTCCTTCAGGTGCGTGTCCATCAGCTGCCGGTCAATGACCCTGTGCATGTCGTCCTGTGGGGAGCAGAGAGGCGGCTGAGTGGGGCTGAGACCCTGCGGCCCGGCGTGGGCTGGGGGGGTGGGGGGGCGTGGGTGGGAAGGGACACGAGATGAGGAGGAATGAGATGAGATGAGCGCGTGGCTGCAGCCGGGCGGCTGACCGAGAAAGCAGCGAGTGGGGACACACACTGGACACACAGGAGCCACCCCAGAGCCCCTGCCCTCTGCCAGGGTCACCCTCTGGTGCTTCTGTCTCTGCCCGGGTGCTGGCCCCACAGCTGTGCTGAGCCTTGCCTGGGAGCAGCCCTATCTAGCCGCCTCCTGTGTCCCTTGGAGGGCGAGGGCTCTGAGGTGGCGGGGGTAGGGGCCTGTGCCCGAGCTCCCCGCCCCCAACAACTACCTCAGCTGTCTGCTCGGCCTGACACCTGTGGGAAGGGCGCAGTGCCCACCACCTTCTGGAGCGCCTTGCCCCAGTGCAGGTCTGGTTCCCCGGCTGCCCCCTGCAGTTTCTTCTTACCCAGTGTGCAGTTGCTCCTTCCCGCCCCCCGTAACAGCAGCCCCCACCCAGAGAGGGGTTCCTCACAGATGCTCGCCCTCTCCGCTCCAGCTGCTCCAGGCTGGACCCGGGAGCTGGCACCCGGCGAGGTGCAGAGAAAGCCCGATCAGTTCTAAAAGAGAAGCAGCTAACAGGAGACAACCGCTGGCCTGGCTGCCCCTGACAACGAGCTCTGGATGACACTGGGCTGAGTTCCTGGCCGGAGCCAGTGCTAGGACAGGGAGGTCTGGGTCTGGGGTGGGCGGCCCCCAGAAATGGGGCAGACAGGATCTCCGGGACCCTGAGCGGCCGTACACTGACCCGCTCGCTTGTCTGTCACCACTCTGCTCTCCCTCTCTCCCTCGGGTCCTCAGCTGGGCTGTCAGCCGCTGAGACACTCTCCTTCCACATCACCTGCCTGAGCTCCCTCCTGGTTCCGCGACCTTTCTCTTCTTCCTGTCCCATCTTTCCTCCCATGTGACTTCCTTCCTCTCCTGCTCCCAGAAATGAGGCCTGGCCCCGTCCCAGACCCTGGCATGGAACCTTCTACCCAGAAACGCCTCTCGGGATGGGCTCAGCAAAACCTTTGTGGCTAATGGCAATATGAGAAATGTTAGTGGGTGAGGAGCCCCCTTTGAGATGCCGTGTCATACTGCAAACGATACACCTGAAGCTCCAGAATTCCCATCAAGGGACTCCCACGAAACATTCAACTTGAGAACAGCGCGCGCGCGCACACGCACACGCACACACACACACACACACTCTCTCTCTCTCTCTCCCCCTCACCCCCCCATTCCACGGCCTGCCTGGACTTCTGGTCCCCAGACTACGGTGTGTGAGGCGGTGGCCCCGGGGCCCAGGGGTTCCTGGTTCCTGGGCGGCGAGAGGGATGGGAGGGGAGAGCCAGGGCTGGATGGCATGGCGCACGGCACAGAGATGAGGCTGGGCTCCGGCACACAGAACACGGTGGGCCACGAGGGGAGGCGGCACGAGCAGGACTGCAATGGCAGCGGCAGAGGGTGGCGTGATGAGGGCTCAGCTCACCTCAAAGGCAGGAGGGGTGTACAACTAAAGCTGTTGATTCGGGAACTGAGAAAGGCCACTAGATCAGAAACCAAAGGAGCCAGATAGTAAAAAGCCCTGAGGAAGCAAACTGCAGCCAGGAGAGAAGAGAGAAGAACAGGGGTCGTCAGCCACGGAAGCAGCAGCTGGCCACGATGCAGGAGGCCACGGGGCCCAGGACCAGCTCGGGGCACCAGTGCTCCTGCAGCTGGGGGCCTTAGAGGGACGGTCACTGCCACCTGCCCCCCCACGGCAGGGCTCGCCTCAGCCACCCATGGCTCTTCAGGGCTGGCAGGGGGTTCTTGGAGGAGGCGCGAGGGGGTCACTCTCACACCCTGGGAAGCCTCTCAGGGACAGGACTCGCTGCCAGGGTTCCAGGGAGAAAGACACTGACTGCTTCCCCAGGCACGTGGCACAGAGTGGCCGGGAAAAGGATGCTGGGCTCTGGGCAAGCAGAGGCCAAGGTGCTGCACCCCAGGGCCACTGAGCTGACTCAACATCCACGCGGAGGGCTTCCTGGGGCACCCCAGGCGGCAGTGGGTTCTTCTGGCCAACCCAGGGAAAGCCAGCCAGGAGGCTGGGAGCGCGGGTCACCATGGCCGGAAGCTGCAAGGGTCACCAGGGCCTCAAACAGCACAGCCTGGGGCCTGCTGCTCTCCAGAAGCCGTAGGCTGTTTTCTCCAAGGACTGTCTGTGGGCACGAGAGCTGCATCTTGCCAGGTCAAGTGGGGTTCCTTGTTCACCCAAGCATTCTGCCTGGGTCTGGGAACCCCATTCTCCATTAGGCTGCGTCTCAGGACTCTTTTTACCTGCCACGCCTCCAGCTGCTGGGAGAGGTTCAGTTTCTGCTGAATGGCGTCCAGCAGCTGGCTGTTCAGAGACATCATGTCCATCTTGCACTTGGCAAGTTCCAGCTCCACAGCGTTCTTCCTGCAAACAGACAAACGGGGGTGAGGAGGACAGAGCCCCTGAGGCTCCAAGTCTGCAGCCGTCACTGTGGTCTTGCTTGCCACGGGCTGGACGCTCGCCCCACATTCTCACGGACGGTCTCAGTCCTGGAACCTGTCCACGGCTGCAGCCAGAGCCAGCCTGCGACTCGGACGGAGCACTTAAAAGAACCGGAGATAAACCAACACCGACTGGGGGCCTGTGACCCAACCTCACGTCAGCATGAAAGAGCGGCCGAACCCCTCCCCGCAAAGTCAGTCCCCGAGAACAGTGTCCTGCCAGTCTCCTTGCCACGAATGACCATTCCAGGGCGCCCTTAGGGAGCTGTCTACAGACACGGGAGTGGCCCGGCAGAGGACACAGCGGTCTTTGAAGCACGGCCTACGTCGCAGTGGCCGTCGTGACACGGAGCCCTCGCCCACGCGGGGAAGGGCCACGGGGCGCCGGGCAAAGTGAAGCACCGGGCAGGCCCAGATGATGGGAGCGCGCAAAAGCGCGCGCGCGCGTCTCAAGGTCGCACGGGCCGACGCGCTCGCCGGGAGGCCCCGACCTCTGCGCTCTGGCGCTCTGGGACTCCGCATCTTGGTGTTCTCCCTCTTCCGGTGCCTTCCCCAACACCCCCAAATCAGAGGCACCGACAAACTGACAGTCCCTTAAGATACAGTTTTCAGGGGCAGGAGGAGAGAGAAGGGCCGGACTGCGCCACCGCTGCGGAGGCGCCAACGGTGGCCAGGACGTTCCATCAGGACGTTCGCTCCCTTCCGCCTCTGTGGCTAGACACAAAGTGTCCCCGCTGCGCAAGACCGCAGGGGCCCGGGGACAGCAGGCGCAGCCCGCGGGGCATCGGGACAGTCCCCTGGCCAGGCGCGGCAGGAGGGGACAAGGGACGCGGGACGCCGCTTGTCCCGCTCTGGCCACCTGCGCCGCAGTGCTTCTTCCCGGGCCCCAGGCCCACAGGGGCGCCCTGGGCGGGCTCTTCTCACGGCCCTCGCGCCCTTCCGGGCCGAGCCCGCGGCAGCGCGAGTCGGAGCCCGCCCCGGCCCGGCCCGTCCGCACTGCGGCTGCGGCACCCGGACCGCCGGGCGGACACGCGGGCCCGACCAATGAGCGCCCGCCTCTCGGATGGCGCGGGCGGCCGTCACGCGCGCCGCCATTGGCTGGCGCGGCCCGGTTGCCATGGACGCGCGGCCCCTCCCGCCCTTCCCCCAGGCCCGCGCGGCGGCGGCTGCGCCCGGCCGCTGTTCCCGGCAGGTGGCGCCACGGCGGAGGGCGCAGGAACTGCTGAGTAACCGTCGCCGGGCCGGGCCCAGCACCCTCGGGCGCGCCTGTCACCCTCGAGGGAGGCCCCGTGCCCGTCGCGGTCGCTCTCTAGGGTGGTGCCCGGATCAAGCCCGGGGCCGCTCGTGCATGCTTCCCCCCACCGAGCCAAGCCCCATCTCCCCCGCGCCCAGCCCTGAACTCCAGCTTCACTCTCCTGTACTGAGCGAGATTCCCTTTTGGGTCACACCCTGCGTCGCACAGGGGTTCCTCCTGGCTCTGCACTCAGGAATCACCCCTGGCGGTGCTCAGGGGACCATATGGGATGCTGGGAATCGAACCCGGGTCGGCCTCGTGCAAGGCAAACGCCCTCCCGCTGTGCTATCGCTCCAGCCCCGAGATTCCATTTCTAAGGGGTAAGGAGAACTGGCAGTGACCGACCCGGTGGGCAGCTGGGGTGGGCCATGCTCAGGGGCTGCTCCTAGCTCTGTGCTGGGGGATCACACCTGGGCTGGCTCCCGTCCCTCTGTCCTCTCTCTTCGGTCCCAACTTCCTTCCAGGGGCCCCTCTGGCCCCGGGACCCAGACCGAGAGGCCTCTCTGCCCTGGGGGCACGTGTCCAGTGGCTCGGTTTCAGGAGGTTAGCCGGCCTCTCAGGGTGAGCTTTCCAGAAGATCTTGGGGCCTGCCTTGCCACCCCGATGCCAGGGCAAGTTCCACTTGAAGGGAGGGGCCTGCACAACTTGTCCTTCTTCTTTCCTGCACCCGGTTCCTCTGACTGCTCTAGCCACCATCCACAATGATGACACACTCTGGCCAGATCCCCGGGCACGGCCCTCCTCTGCTGTCACCCCGCCTCTCTGGCTTCATTCTGCTCTCTTTTCAGGGGGCTTCACAATCGACACCTTCAGGTCACTGGTATGTTCCCCCAGTCACAATTTATCCCCCTTGTTATGCACAGAAATCTGCAACCTTCTCCTCACCCACGACTATCACATTACTGTTCTGATATCCAGCAACTAAATGAAGCAGGGCTCCGTGGGGCAAAGGGAAGAGGCATATGATCTCACCGAGAGTCATTCCTCACATGGCCTTGACACTGAAAGGCCAGACAGAAGAATCAAGGGTAAGACAAGGAAACAGCTAAGAAGGATGAAACAGAAGGGAAGGGACAGAGGTGTCTGTGTGTGTGTGTGTGTGTGTGTGTGTGTGTGTGTGTGTGTGTGTGTTTGGGGGGGAGGAGTGACGCACAGAACTGCAAAGCCAGAATTCAAATGTGTTATTTTTTAAAAGACACACTAGCAGGGCCAGAGACATAGGACAGTGGGTAAGGTTCTTGCCTTGCACACGGACACCTGGGTTTGGTCCCTGGGACCCCACCCATATGTCCCCCGAGCCTCACCAGAAGTAAGTCCGAGCCCTGCTGGATAGACCCAAACTCTCGTCCCCCGGTAGAGTAAGTGGGCATGAGGGTGGTGTGGGTCTTAGTAGAGAAACTCTCCCATGCTAATTCTGTATGGTTTAGCTTCAAAGTGTTAGTGGTGGGGGCTGGAGCGAAAGCACAGCAGGTAGGGCAAATGCCTTGCACATGGCCAACCCGAGTTCGATTCCCAGCATCCCTTATGGTCCCCTGAGCACCGCCAGGGGTAATTCCTGAGTGCAGAGCCAGGAGCAACCCCTGAGCATCACCAGGTGTGACCCAAAAAAGCAAAAAACAAAAACAAAAACAATGTTAGTGGTGATGAAAGTAAAACAACGCGCGCCCGGGCACTCACTTAGCGATGGCTTCGTCACGGTCCCTGATGGCCTTCTGAAGCTGCTCCTGTGGTTCCTTGTCTTCGGCTGTCACTCGGAGTCGGTCTCGCTCCTCCTTCAGCGCAGTCATCTCCACACTCAGCAGAGTCACCTGCGAGGGGCCCAGAGCACATATAGGCTCAAGCTCTGCTGCCCAAGGGGCAAGGGGGCAGCACTAGCCCTGAAGCTGTGACAGGGACCAGGTCTCCTTTACCTAGAGAGTCACACCATCTCTGTTTATCATTCATTTTCGAGTCGCACCCAACTGTGTGCAGGGCTTACTCCTGGTTCTGTGCTCAGGGATCACTCCTGGTGGTGCCTGGGGGACCATCTGGGATGTCAGAGGTCCAGCAGGGCCAGCCGCATGCAAGGCCAGCACCTAACCGCTCTACTCTCTCTCAGGCCTCCACACCTGTCTTTCACTTTAAGACATGCCCAGGAATTCGTGAATGAAGACTAACCCTCCATCCATAGGTACATCAGGGCTCTGAGGCGCAGGTATTTTCGGGTAGGGACCGGGGTTTTGTCTCTGGTCACCCTCCACTCAGCAGGGACTGCCACTGACTCCAGGGTGTCGGGGCCTGGCCCCAGCTCTGGGAGTGCTTGGCAGCTGCCTGCTTCTTTTGGGTCTAGCCATGTGGACTTCAGACACTCCCCACGATGTTCACATCAAACCTATGACCTCTCGGGGGGCCCAGGGCTCAGAGGACAGCAGCACTGCCCAGTTGGTGGGCCTCCGTTGCTGGCAGTGGCATGCTGGCCCTGTCCACTCTGGACTCCTGAGCTCTGCCAGGCAGGAAGCTGTCCTGGCTCTCTATTCTATACAGCTCAGTCGACTGCCCGGACAGCTGCTCCCCCGCCACTCTTTCATTTTTTATGCTGGTGTATTTCTGGCATTTTTATATAGGATATATGCATACAGACAGTAATTAAGGCTGGCAAAGTATTAATATGCGACAAGGAAGGGCGGCCTAAACAGCATTTAAAAGCAGAGCTCATGATTATAAACATTAGTTAAGTGAAAAAATTGGGGAGGGGGAAATGTGTCACGTATAAGTCAGTTTATAAGTGAAGCTTATGGGAATTAGTTCACGTACCATTAATAATGTGGCCATATCTAGAATGAAAATAACCTCCCCCAAATTAATTTGCAATACAGTTTTTTTCACAGCCTTTAATTTCTTTGCTTCTTTTGGGTCACACCTGATAATGACTGACTCCTGGCTCTGCATCAGGAATCACTCCTGGCAGTGCTCAGGGGATGCTATGGAATGCTGGGGATCGAACCCAGGTTGGCCGTGTGCAAGATAAGCACCTTACCCACTGTACTATTGCTGTGGCCTCAGCCTCTAATTTCCAAACACTGACTGACTGGTATGACATTAAATGGCTTATGAAATTGTCTTTTCTTTATCCCTGGACATCTGCATTATCCTGATCATTCAAAAACAAATGCAATATAATGCTGAGACTTCCTTGCCTGAAATGACAAGATTAAGTGTGTGTGTAAAAACTAAACGGGGTGAGGGACGGGATGGCTGGGTCCACGGATATGCTCAGGGCTGACTCCTGGCTCTGTGCTCAGTAGTGACCCCTGGCAGTGCTCGGGGAACCATATTCCCCTCCAGGGATCAAACCAGCATTGTCCCCATGCAAGACAAGCAATTGTCACCCTGGGGCAATTGTCCTATTGGGGCACAGAAGGGGAGTGGTGTTTCCTCTCTCAGGCACACAGGCACGTGACCCTGCCATGTCCCCATCCTGGAACTGCAGCTTTGGAGGGTAGAGTAAAGCCAGGAGCTGGTGGGAAACCGTTTCTCGACAACAGACCCACCTCCATGCCCCTTCCTGCGAGGGAGCCGAGTTCTCGGACTTCCTGTTGATCCTACACTCCACCGATTTAATTCCAATACAATCGCTTTCCGTTTAAGTTAAACAGCAAATTGCTGTTGTTTGTAACCAGAAACCCTGCTGGGCAGAGCTTTCAATAAATATTTGCTGGCCAAATGGGAGGGTGGGAGACCTTCACACAGCTGATAGGATCAGCCCCGAGTCGGGCTGCCAGGCCGGGCTGGGCTGGGCGGGCCTGGTTATTAAATACTGCGCAGACGCCGACAGTTTTCCAAGGGAGGACCCATCCATGCGGGTCTGTCTCTCTTATACGGGGATAGAGGTCACATCTCAGGGTACTTGGCTCTTCATATTCCAGGTAATTCTGATTACCTTCAGACTGGATGACTCAGAGAAAAAGCCCCAGGACGGAGGCTGAAGCTTGCTGAGGACACTCTGGACTCCCTGGCCAGCCCCCAGCGTTGCAGCTACAAGGGAAGACTCAGAGGACACACAACAGTGCCAATGCACACAGGACAACTTGCCACCAACACGTCAGGAGACCAGAGTGCTGTACAGTCCTGCCTGGTGGAAGGGCGTGGTGCTCTGCAGGGGAGGGGACAGTCTAGAAGCCTCGAGCCCGTGTATCATCAGCAGGTTCTGCCGCCTTGAAGGGCAGCAGTCCAGACCCGGACAGTGGCTGGTAGAGAAAGCCAACCCAGGGGAGACCTGCCCTCTGGAGAGGCGACAGAGTAGCCAGTGAAGCAGCAAACGGGGAAACGCCACCGTTTTTGCACCGCTGGGAAACAGGTATCCAGACTGTCAGCTAAGTGACGGGGACTGACCGCATGTCAGGCATGCGTGCTTTTATAAGGGGCAGGAGTGAAAGAACTTCCCCACTATCACGCTCAGGATTAACAGATAAATCCCATCTCCTCCCATCCTGTGTAGGGCAGTCACGAGGACTGACCTGGCGCACGTTAGGGTCACCTAAACTCATTTTTCCCAAGTGCAAGTGGATCTCCGGCAGGTAGGTAACATGGAAAAAAGCATTCCTGCCATGCTTCAGGAAGATCGGTCCAAACCCAGTGAGGGGTAGGGCAAGGCTCAAAATTGAGCACGCCCGGGGTGCAAGAAAGGAGGCCTGGAAGAGGACCACGGGGGGTGCCGGGAGGCAGGGTTTAAAATGCTGTCCGTGTCCCCAGGCGGCCTTCTACGTGTGACCCCGCTCCAGAGGAAGAGCTCCGCTCTTTCCTGAGAGATTTTAGAAGCTCCTTTCTGGGAGCTGCTGCTCCCGGCTGCCTTAACGGTGTCCAGATCAGAACACAGATGCCTTCTCCAGTGTTCTCCGGAGAAATGGAGTCATGATCAAACGGGGGATGAAGAGCACGAGGGGCAGGAAGCGCTTCTAAAGCTGAGGGCAGAGATGGCGACGCTGACGAAACAGAGCAGGGCCGGCAAAGATCAGCTGTTGCTGATTCCCACACTTGCCAGTCCGTGTCCTGGCTCCGTGGCCCTTTCAATCCGATCCCCTCCCTCTGCCCGACAGCAGGATGGCTGTCTCCTGGGGGAGGGCTGCTCGCTGGCTCTTCTCCCCCAGGCCTGTGCTGGAGAGCTGCCCAGCCCACCTGGACTTCACGCGCCTTCTTCCGGGGCTCTGCCATGGGAGAGGAGAGCTGCTTCGCCACCCAATGTGGGAGGTCCCAGGAGAACTGGGGACGTGGGCAGGTCCCCTGTACCGCACTGAGGACGGGGCTCACCTGGCTGTGGAGTTGCTGCAGCTCTTCTAGGCTTTGCCTTAGTTTCCCCCTCTCTCCCTCCATGAGTTCCCTGAGGGCTCTGGAGTCCTCACTGGTCTGCCTTATCTGTTCTTCTAAGTCATCATCAATTCTTCGAGAACTCTAACCGCAGAAGCAAGGCGACACGGTGTCAGGGAGGAGGAGGATTTGGGGGCAGAGGGCACAGAGACGGTTGGCAGGAGCGATGGAGAGGGGCATGAGTTATGGTCGGGGAGGGAAAGGCCACAGGAGAGAATGACGAGAGAAGGGGAGGGAGAGAAAGAAGAGAAAGACAAAGGGGAAAGAGAGAAGAGTTAAGGACAGAATTCAGTCGCCCAACGTACACCCACAAACAACAGCTAGACATTTAGTTTTGTTTCAAGCTTCAGGAAGGTAACTGGAGTGAACTGCATCTGAGAGCGCTCCCCCTCCCAACCCCGGCTGCCTGGCCTCTACCAATGACACAGTCCTGCTAACCTGAGCCACAGAAAGGCTGCTATTTAGTAGTGAAACCTGAGAGGGAGGGCTGTGCCGGGAGGAGGCAGCCGTGTGCCCAGGGCACATTCCTCTTCCTCACAGCAGGAGCCACACCTGCAACCTAAGTGGTCCTTGTCACCGAACTCAACTTTCTGTGCTGACTTATATCCTTCTGGCAGAAGCTCCAGACTCTTTTTTTTTTTCGCTTTTTTTGGGTCACACCCAGCGATGCACAGGGGTTCCTCCTGGCTCTGCACTCAGGAATTACTCCTGGGATTCTGGGAATCGAACCTGGGTTGGCTGTGGGCAAGGCGAAGGCCCTACCCTCTGTGCTATTGCTCCAGTCCCAGCTCCAGACCTTTAAGTTTATTCATTCACAGCTAACCTCACTGCTTGGACCAACAAGCTACTGAGAGTACTTGGCACTTCACTGGAACCTGAACTTCCATATTCAACATTTAAACGGAAAGGCCTGCACCGAGGCCACGGTGGCCCATTCAGAACAGAATGGAGAATCAAGCAGACTGTACCTGGTGTCTGCAGGAAGCTTCCCTTCCTGGGCACCGACTGCTGCAACCAGTCTCCCTGATGCTGGGAAGGATGCTCTGAAACAATCTGGGCTTGGAAGACGTTCTGGAAGTCTCTAAGGTTCCAGTTCCAAGGTCACCTCCCTCTCTTGTACTAGGCTGTGGGCTAAGGCGCTGCTCAGCCTGGCTCCTTACCGTGGGCTCCATGCCATCCACAATGCTCTGGATCAGCCTCTTGAGCTCGCTGAGGGCAGTGCGCAAGCTGCCGGCTGGCACATCCTTGGCAGATGAGGTTTCGGAAGACTCGTCCATGGAGGAGTCGGTGGAGACGGCCGAGTCGGCACTATCGTTTCCACGAAGGTGGGAGCAGAGATAGCGGACCTGGCAGTAGGCTTCCCAGAGCTGCAGCCTCAGCTGGTCCACAGAGAAGCACCGTTATGACTCGAGAAGGCCGCCGTCTAGCCCCCCTTACCCGGTGAACCCAAGATACATGCGAGGGACTGGCTCTAGGAGAAGGGCCTGGTTCACCCTCTGAAATGTGGACGCTCATTCCAGACCAGTACTTCCGGTTCTTGGTTTTTCCCTCTGCTCTTTAGCGCTCCCCCTTGCCAAAGAAATAACCCCATAACCAAAGAAATAGCTGGCAGTCAGCGCGTGAGTCAATTCAGTGGACTGAATAAAAAGAAGCCAGTAGGGGGCTCACTGTGTTCTCGAACTCGGCTGGTACATGATCTATGAATGAGGCACCGCGCGGGTGGCAGTGAGCAGAGCTTAGCCCTGTCTGCATGACACCCTGTGCCCTGGCACTCCTGCTTCATGCCTTGATGGATTAAGTGGGTGGGAAACAGAACCAGGGACACGCTTTGGTCATGCTTCATGACGGCTTCAGTCACCGGCCTCAGGCTGGCACTGGTGCAGGATGGTGGCACTTTGCCGGGAGAAGCTTAACCATGGGCTGGAGGTGACAAGGCAGTCTAGCTGGCCCCTGGGTCCCCAGACAACCCATGTCCCGAGGGCCAGGGAGGCAGCACCTGCTCTCGCTCCTGCTCCAGCTCCTCGGCCTCCATACTCTGCTCTATCTCTGACAGGAGCGACGTGCTGGTGGCGGTGGAGCTCTGCAGGCTCCGCTCCTCACTCAGCTCCTCCACCTTCACCTGCAGCTGCCGGCAGGACAGTCGCACCTCCTGGAGCTCCAGCTGGCTCTGGTGCAGCTGCCAGAGAAACAGCGGATGGCGTGAGGTGGATCCCAGAGCAACGCAGACGCCACAAAGGGGCCCTGCACCCGATGACGCTGTTAGATCCAGACACCGTTCCCAGGAAAGCACAGAGAAGCCAATGCTCGTCTACCCCAGAGATGCTGTCAGTCAAATCCCATCTGCGACGGGCTACGGCCCCCACAGCGCGACGTCATCAACAGATTTCAAGAAAGAGAAATGAAAAGCAAACAGAGAAACCGATAGATAAAGACGACTTCAGCGATACCAACCCACACAATGCATGGGCTTATTTTGAGTCTTGATTCAAACAGAAAATGTGAAAACCGATGACATCAAGACTGGATATTTCATGATGTTGAAAAATCGTTGCTAGGGGTCAGGAAGGGCATTTGATCTCAGGTCGCTCATATGGTCCCCTGAGTCTGCCAGGAGTGAACTGAGTGTTCAAAACCAAACAAAATCCCTGCTAAGCATCTGAGGTATAATATTCCAGTGCCTATATATTTAAGTTCTTATTTAGAAGTACTTTTTTTAGATGACGCTATGAAAATACCGATTTACCTCAAAGCTAATAGGAGAGGAAGAGCAGGTTACTGTAATGATGCTGGTTTGGGAATAACGGTTTGAGGAGCTGGGGAATGAGGAATCTAGGTTGTCACTATCCTAGCCTATTTTTTAAAGAATTTTTATTAGTGAAACACCATGAGGTACAGTTGTAGACTTACAAATTTTGGTGCTTGGGTTTCAGTTATACAATGATCGAGTACCCATCCCTCTGCCAGTGCCCATTCTCCACCACCACGGACCCCACTATCCCTCCCACGCCCCCATCCTAGCCTATTTTCATCTGAAATTCTCCAAAACAAGTTAACCCAGACACAGTTTCATAAAGATACAATGAGACTGTTTCTAAACAGCTAAAATAAAGAAATAAAGCACTACTGAGTACTGAGGAGGGTGCAGGACCCTTGTTCTGATGGGAGCAGGGGCTCTCCACCACTCTGGAAAACGGTTTGGCAGTTTCTGCTGAGGTGAGCGTCACACCTGCCCTATGGCTGAGCAACTCCCCTTCTAGGCAGAGACTCAGTGCCCTCAAAAGAGGATCAGGACGTTCACAGCAGCATCATTCTAGTCATGACTAGGAAACCACCCAAAATGCCAAGCACAATAGAATGGGTAGACAGGGGACGGGAGAGAGTGCGGGGTAAGGTGTTGGCCCTGCATGCAACTGACCCATTTGGTCCTTGGCACACACTCGTGCTCCAAGCAATCTGGGAGTGACCCCTGAGCACAGAGCCCAGTAGTAGCTCCCAAACCAACACCGCGCCCCTGCCCTGCCAAAAAGAAAAAAAAACAAAAACCAAAAAAAAAAAACAAAGCCAGAATGGACATATTCACATGCTGGAATACTACAGAATGCAAAGAGAAAAGACTGAGCTACTACCATATGCTACAACATGAATGAATTTCAGAGCCATGGTATCGAAGACAATAAAAATTATACAGTGTTTGATTCCATTTATAAAAAGTTCTAGGGCTGGGGTTTGCATGTAGGAGGCCTTTGAGTCCTTGTTTAGGTCACGTCAAATACTCTTGTATTAGAGGAGCACCCACTGCACCTTTCAAATAATCTGGCAGGGAAGCGAAGACCTAGAATTTGTTTGTTTTTGGTTTTTGGGCCACACCTGGCAATGCTCGGGTGGCGCCTGACTCTTCATTTAGGAGTTACTTGGGTAATGCTGGGGATGGAACACACGTCAGTCACATGCAGGGCAAGCTCCCTACCCACTGAGCTATCTCTCTGGCGCTAATGCATTCGTCCTCCAATAAGGTAAAGGTAAAGGCCCTCCCGTTGATCGTCGATTTGCTCGAGCGGGCCCAGTAACGTCTCCATTGGAGACTTTGTTGTTACTGTGTTTGGCATATCCAATAAAACAGTATTTCTGGAGCCCTTCCTGTTCATTCAAAATAGACCGTTTCACACGCCTTCCCTCCCTCGATCTGAGGGACTTTGGGTCCTTGCAGAGACCAGGTGGCAAGGGCAGCAACTCCGAGTCTGAGTCTCACGAGGGCAACAAGCAAGTCCTGACTTGCAGAGCCCCCAGCCAGTCCTCACACCGCGGGCCATTGCTGGAGAATGGCTAATGGCGCCAGTGGCCAGGCAAGTCTTAAGTAGGAAGGGTTTAGGGCCTGGCTGCACCGGGGACGGAAAAGGAACTGGCAAATCCGCTGTGCCTGGCTCCCTCCGATCAGCAATACCTGCTGGTCGAGTGGGAACTCCTCCAACTCCAGGGCTGAGGAGAGAGAGATGAGGGGTTGAACGGAAAGACATTCCTAGGAAGCATTTGGCACCCTTACAGGCAGCACATTAAATCTGCAACACACAATTCTTTTCTAGACAACGCCACATCCATCTCAGCAGGAGAAGTTGAGCACTGACAAGTACACGTTCTTAAGTCACTGGACAAAATTAGTCCAATTACGATTCATGTACACTCAGAGGTGATTAATTAATCATAACAGGAGCGAGCAAAAGACAAGGACAGGCTGCCCCTCCACTCTCTGACTGACCCACAGACATGTACAAAAATCTGGAAAAACTGGAAATCTATTAAATGTAAAATCCTGTTCACATACTAATATAACAAAATGACACTAACTGTACTTATGTGTATGGAAAAGGAAGCCACTGAATAGCTTGCATCTGCACCATCTGCTAGAGGGGCAAGCCCACAAGACCCATGCCCCATGGCTGGCCGAAGGGAGGCCTCTCTCCGCTTCACATCTGGGGAAACTGAGAGGATGTTAAGTGATTTGACACTTGTGCAGGGGGCTGCAAACCCATAACGGGTTCATGCAACTTTAAAAATAATTCTTTCAGGGCCAGAGCAATAGTAGAGTGGATTGGGCACCGTGTTTGCGTTGCATGAGGTCAACTGGGTTTGAGCCGCAGCATCCTATATGGTCTCCGGAGCACCACCAGGAGCAGTTCCTGAGAGCAGACACAGGAGTAACCCCTGAGTATCTCCAGGTGTGACCCAAAAAGTGAAAAAAAGTTGCTTTGGGAATTGGAGAGATGGTAGGTGCCGAGGGTGGGGTGCTTGCTTTACAATGCAGCCAACCCAGCTTCAATCCCTGGCACCCCATATGGTCCCCAGAAACCCACCAGGAGTGATCTTCGAGCACACAGCCAGGTGTGACCCCCACAAAAACAGAAAGCAAAAAAAATTTTAATATTTTATAAATATACTGTTTTTAATAATAAGTCTCATTACTAATAAGTTTTATTAAAAACATTTTTTAAATCATCTTGAGATACACATTTATAAAGTTGTTCCAGCTTCTAGGACAGTTGCTTGTGGGTATTATAAAGAATCTGCCTGGCAGTAGAACCCCAGTTACAGAGTGAACCAGATCAAAGGCAAGACTGTGCCACCTTCCTCTTAATCTCTGCCTGAGGAAAAGAATAAAACCATGGATACGGCATTCCAAGGCCACTTGGAATGATTCTGCAAATCTGATTTAGGACCTTGAGGGCTTGCCTGGAGGTTCTAGCAGGGGAGCGCAGCTACTCGTATACCCTCCACCGAAGACTGGTCCGTCTCTATTCGGGAACGACCATCCTCTTCGACCGACGTGCAGCCTTGGGAGGGACGCACATGGAAGGGGACACCTGGCTAGCCAGCCAGATCAGCCGACTCAACGCTGGCGATCAATGGGGTGACAGATGTCGCAGCCAGATCGCTCTGGATATAGCACAGCGGGTAGGGTGTTTACCTTGCACCCGGCTGACCCAGGTTCGATTCCTCCACCCTTCTGGAGAGCCCGGCAAGCTACTGAGAGTATCCGGCCCACACAGCAAAGCCTGGCAAGCTCCCCGTGATGTATGCCAAAAACAGTAACAACAGGTCTCACAATGGAAACGTTACTGGTGCCCACTCGAGCAAATCGATGAACAACGGGAGGACAGTGCTACAGTGCCATTCAAATTCTATCCTGAACTGAAATTTTAATTTGTTTTGTTTTGGGGCCACACCCAAGGCACTCAGAGGACACTGTGCTGGGAGTTCAACCTGGAGAGGCAACATACAAGGCAGGCACCCTATCTTCTGTGCTATTTAATTCCCAATTTCTGAATTAGGATAGGCCATTTCAGCCTTCAAAGATTTAAGAGGACACCAGTTTTTAACCTGAGAACTTCATATGAGGGAAGGAAAACGTTTACGAACAGTTGGGAGGGTAAGAATTTAATCTACCGGACTGGAGCAATATTGCGGCAGGTCGAGTGTTTGTCTTGCGCAGCAGACCCAGGTTTGGTCCCCCAGCATGGTCCCCTGTGCACCGCCAGGAGCGACTCCTGAGCAAAGAGTCAGAAGTAAGCCCCGAGCACTGCCAGGTGTGGCACAAAAAACAAATAAAAAAAACAGAAGAATTTAGTCTACAATGCATTTTCCTAATCAAAATGAGAACTTGTTGACCTGTTGTAGGACCGGGGCTAAAGGATGTGGCACTGTGGCACTGTCCTCCCGCTGTTCATCGATTTGCTCGAGCGGGCCCAGTAACGTCTCCATCATGAGACTTGTTGTTACTGTGTCTGGCATATCGAATACGTCACGGGGAGCTTGCCAGGCTCTGCCGTGCGGGCGAGATACTCTCGGTAGCTTGCCGGGTTCCCCAAGAGGGGCGGAGTAATCGAAATCAGGTCGGCCAAGTTGGCCGCGTGCAAGGCAAACGCCCTACCGCTGTGCTATGGCTCCAGCCCGGGGCTAAAGGATACTCTTACTTATTCCAGGTTTGGGGCCACATGTGGCTATTCCCAGGGCAGAGCTCCCAGGACCCTGCAGTCAGGGGGACAGCACCCAGACTCCAGCAGACAAAGCGTGCACTCGGTCTAGCCCTTTGAGTCTCAGACTGTGGTTCTGGAAGTCCGACCAAACAGCAACGGACAACTGTGCAGTGCGGATGTGAGCACAGTGCCTCTGGGCTCTGGCGGCCTGGTGGACTGTGGGCCCGGCTCTCTCCCAAGAAGGACTCTGTGAATTCACAATAAGAGTGCCGACAGGGATCCTTTTCCTGTCCCTCTCTTCCTCCTCTCTTGGTGCTCTGCATCAGCACCAAGGAGAGTCAACCTGCATCAACCCTCAGGAGTGTGCTGATGGGGCAACACGCTGACTGGCAGAGACAAGGAGCAGGTTCCCAATTGCCACTGAGCACCTGGCAGAACAGGGCGGGGGGTGGGGCGGGTTCTAGTCTTGAGTCTACCAAGAACTTACCACACTACCTCGATAGCAAATTCATTGTTTGGTATTTTCCTCCAGATTTTGGACCACACCTGGCAATGCTTGTTCTTCACTTAGGAATCACTCCTGGCCATGCTTGGGGGACACATATGGAACGCCAGAGATTGAACCCCAGTCAGCTGCATGCAATGCAAACATTTCCCTGCTGTGCTATTTCTCCAGCCCCAACAATTCATTATTTCTAAGCCTCAGTTTCAGACTGCATGCAAAAGCACCATCCCTCATACAGAAGCATACAAATATTCTTCGCTATTACCATCATCAGCTTTAAGACATGAACAGGGACTGACAGTGTGGTTTGGGGATAGAGAATGTATCCCAAACACGTGAAGCCCTGACTTCAACCCCTATTTCTGCAAAAAAGAAAAGAAAAAAAGTACAAAAAAACTTCCTTTTTGTCCTTTTGCAAGGTTAGTGAACTACCTTTTTTTTTTGGTGGCTCTTTTGGGACCACCCCCAGTACTGCTCAGGGCTTACTCCTGGCTCTGCACCCAGGACCAGCCCTAGTGAGGTTGGGAGCTCCTGATGAGCTTGCTACACCATCATTCCGCCCAGCAGCACAGCTCTGGACAACATTTGACAAGAAGCGGGGCCAAGGAGAGAGGGCAGGGCATTTGCCCTGCGCGTATCCAACCCAGGTTTGATCCCCAGCATCTCATCTGCCCCCCAAGTACCATTAGGAGTGATCCTTAAACAAAGACCCAGGAGTGAGCCCTGAGCACTGCTGGGTGTGGCCCCCAAACGAAACAAATTTAACAAGAAATTTCTACTAAACACAAACTTCTTAGTTGAAGCATAGAAACAAGGAGGAACAAAAGTGCTAATTTGCCTTCAAAGAGATGAATCACTTAGATGCCAGCTTAGCTGATAGTGTCAGTAACAAGTGATATTGGCTAAATGTGGCTGTTTCCACATCCTGAACCCCAGGGCTTCCGGGTTCGATCGCCAGCATCCCCTAGGGTCCCCTGAGCACTGCCAGGAGTAATCCCTGAGCATTGCCAGAAATGACCCAAAAAGCCAAAAAGAGAAAACAAAACAAAACAAAAGACCCAAACCCCAGCGCTCTCCTCAGAGCTAACTACTGGTCAGTGGGTCCTCTGGGGCCCGGTCTTAGGGCAGGAGCCAATATGGCGCTTGCCTACTCCTGGCTGACTACTGCACACAAATGACACTGTTTCAAGCCCGTCTACTCCCTGGCATGCCCAGGGGTAAGCAATGCACTACGGCCACAGTCCCTGGCGCTGGGGAGGCCAGCCTGCAAACCCTTCCGGGGCAGACCTGACACTATTTTGGGACAGGCTGGGAGGGATTATCTTTTTGTTTAGTCTGTTGCCCCTTGTCAAGAATAAACTTGGGGATTCAACTACGGCCTGGTGGCAGTTTCCAAACAAGGATAAATATGGCCACCAAGCAGTTTTCTTAAGGAAAAAGAAAAGAGGCTCATTAGGCTTACAGAGCAGTCGGCCTGTGCTTTTTCTAACAAGCAGATATACAAACAGAGTGATGTGTCTTGCTGAGTCCAGTGGGCAGCTCCTTGGTTTCTGCCCAGTGCCAGGCAGCTAAATCCACGACCCGGCGAAGCGGCAGCTGGGAGCACGCTGAGCCAAGCGCAGGAAAGTCACTGGCTCTCTCTGGAATCGTGGGGGGATGTCACAAACCCGAGGAGGTTGTACGACCCCCCTGCTGGTCCAGTCATGGTTCCAGGAAAGAACTCAGGGAAACTGCTCCAGGGGCTCAGAACAAATTGGAAGGAGGCCCTGTGAGTACCGCAGTATTTCCTCGGGGCAGGGCCAGACTGGCCGCTCCAGACACAGCCCGAGGGGCCGGGCTTCCCCCACTCCTGACCCTGAGCAGCACTGGCCTCCAGCCTCCCCTGCAGCCGAGGCAGCTAAGTGTCCCTCCGGTCCTGCGCAGTACCTGGAGGTCTTTGTCCTGGCCTTGCCTCTCCAGGATCAGCACCCGGTCCTGCAGTTCTTCCACGGTCCCTTGGAGCAGGTCATTTTCTTCCAAGGTGGCGCTGAGACGATGCTCCAGCTCCCGTTTCCGGTCCGACAGCATCTTGATCTGCAAGGACGGAGAAGCCACAAGGTGACTGTTGGCCAGGCTGCTGAGCAGGAAGGATTCCACACACAAAGCATGACTCTCTCCAAGGGCTCTGCCCGGGGACCCAGGGCCTTCTTCTCTGAGAACAGCAGGGAGCTCTTAGCCTGAGACAAAGCCCCTCCTCTTTCCTCTCTGGGAAAGGGTGGGAGCTGGGCTTCGGGGAAGCTGGAGTGTGGGGTGCTGGGCAAAGGAAGGTTGATTTTCTGGAAATTCCACAGATCAGACAGAGAAGGGCCCATGACTTGACAGTCTGTGGCAACACGGGCCCTAATCTGCTACTCTATTCTTCTCATGAGCACAGGATTCTGCCCATGACAATCTCCACTGCGCACTCCTACTCAAGCTGGCAGGCCTGGCTCTAGTGCTCACAGTTCAGGGATGGTACCCCAAGTTCACAGGAAGCCATCAGGGCATGGGGGACAAAGCTGCATGTGCCCATGATCTGGGAAGAACAGGAACACAAGTGAACAGCTGGCTTTAGTCCAAGGGTCTTTTGCCTGAGCAAATTTTTTTAAAAGTTTATTATATTATTATTATTTTGCTGGTGATACTCAGGGGTTCCTCCTGGCTCTGCACTCAGAAGTTAGTCCTGGCGGTGCTCAGGGGACCATATGGGATGCTGGGGATCCACCCCAGGTCGGCCACGTGCCAGGCAAACGTCCTACCTGCTGTGCTATCGCTCCGGCCCTCTGAGCAAATAATTTGTGATGGAAAACAATTTCTCTCCTTTTATAAAACAGGCTGGGGATGTTTATACGCTGAACATTAGAAAATATTAGAAAATATGAATCTCTAGGAAAGAGTACATAGTCTCATCAGCATGAGGGAGGAAACAGGAAAAGAAAGGAAAGAACTGCCGCAGTGCTGGCCTCACGGTCTGCAGGGTAAGGAGCTTCGCTGGCTCTTCCCAGAATCAACACGGCTCATACCAGGACCACAGCCCTACTGAGGGGCTCCAGGAAGCCTTCCAAGGCTTCTTAACCAAATTCATTCCTTTGAGGAGTCCTGCAACCCCCCACCCCCAGCTCCTCCCATTGACCAGTTCAAATGTTTAACCAGCATCTGCATATAAACAGTCACTTGACAGGGCTAAGGCTCTCCAGTCCATGGGCTCTCCAGTCTGGATGGATTACAATCCATTAAGTGAAAGAACCCCAGAATATTCCAGGGCAGGTTTTTTTTTTTATCATTTTTTTTATTAGTGAAACACCATGAAGTACATTTATAGACTTATAAATTTTTGTGCTTGGGTTTCAGTTATACAATGATCAAGTACCCATCCCTCCACCAGTGCCCATCCTCCCCCACCACGGGTCCTAGCATTCCTCCCACCCCACCCCATAGGGCAGGTTTTCTTTAAAATTTTTTTTTTTTATGTAGGAGTGCTGCTATTTGTTCAGCCACTAATCAGCCAGGGCAGTTTTTGAAATCAAAGTCTAACTTGTGTTTGAGAGGTCTGCTGAAATCCATCTTTCCCTCTGCTTTTTGGCTGTTCTAACTCTGAGCACTGGAATTCTGTTCAGAGGGTACAGAGCTTCCCTGGCTATTAATCAATCAGATAGAAAGAAAGCCATCCTGGGGAAATGAGGCATTTGGCCTTTCTCCAGAGATCAGGTAACTGACCAAACAAAGAAATACTGTCTCTCAATTGTGCCCCAGGGACACAGAAGGAGCAAGCCCCTTTTGCCAATGGGCCTACGATTCCCTAGACTCAAGCAACATAGCATGGAAGGGGAATTTTTATTGCAGTTGATATTGAATATCTTTATATTTTCCTTACCAAGGATAAATTTTGTTTCCCAATTCTATTCAAAGAAGTAATATGGCAATAAGCTTCTGATTCACAATCCTGCTCCCTTAAGAATACCTTAAAATTCAGAGCTACCTGAAGTAACTCACTGACAAGGAACAATTCCGCAGCTTGGCTTTTAAAAGCAGCAGTGCTTCGGCACGAAGCCCGCATCTAGCATTAGTGGCCAAATCACTCACCCGCCTGCACACCCTGACACCTGTGACCAAACCTGACCATCAACATTCCTGGCACTGCACTGGACCACAAGGACCGGGGAGTAGTGGGGGGATGGGAAGACAGGCAACTGGCAGAGCCGAACGAAAGGGCAGTCATGCACACAGACGGTCACGGACAGGCATGCCAAGCCCCGCTGGAGCCACTACTTACTTCGAGAACCTGCTGCTCAATACCAGGAGGATTTCCAAGGGGAAGGAGGAAGGAAGGGAAGGCGAGGCAGGAGAAGAGAGAAGATCATGACAGACTTTAAGACAAAACACATCCGCGGGGACTTCTGAAGCAGGGGACAGCCACGCGGACACTCCTCGGCCCGGGCACACTGTCTGGTCCCTTTATCACATATGGACACATTCCACAGGGGCCGAGGGTGTCCATCAGTGTGACTTTGCCAAAGGCCTGTTCTAAGCTGGCTGAGGGGCTCCCTCAGGAGCAGAGAAGAAGGAAGCTTCCCCAGGGCACAGCCCCTGTGTGAGCTGGTAACGTGATTCTCCCCTTTCTCATCTCCCAGAACAAGATTTGCACAGTATCATCTGGTCAGAGATTCTTTCCCAGCTCTGGCTGTTCCCTCATTGCCATAGGCCCAAGCTGCCATTTTCTGGTCTCTCACCTACATTACTGTGTTCCGAGCACCATGCAAAGTGCTCTCTGTGAACTGACTCTACCAAATATGTCAAACAACCCCAGAAGGAGATATTTCTATTACTCTCCTTTTATTTTTATTTTTTGCTTTTTTGGGTCATGCCGGGTGATGCACAGGGGTCATTCCTGGCTCTGCACTCAGGAATTACCCCTGGCAGTGCTGGGGGACCCTATGGGATGCTGGGAATTGAAACTGGGTTGGCTGCGTACAAGGCAAACCCCCTGCCCGCTGTGCTATTGCTCCAGTTCCTATTACTCTCTTCTTAGGTAAGAAAATAATACGAGGTCCCATAAGGAGGGCTGAACTGGACTGAATGGGAAGAAGAAAAGGAGATACCCCATCCCGTCTTCTATTTAGTTCTGCAAAGGATGTTTCTGGAGGGATCAACATTTTAAGTAGAAAGGTAAGTAGAAAGGTAAGTGCCTGATTTCAACCATACTCAGCAGTAGCTGAGCAATCTGATTTTCCCAGGGAACAGGCTAGCCAGAGGAACCGGGATCAAATGTCCCCCTTAGTGTCTAGTGTCTCTTTCTCTGCACGACCCCCCCCCCCCCCCCCATCCTCAAGAGGCCATACCCAGCAGTGCTGGGGCCCTCCAGGGTTGCACCAGAGATGCTCAAGAACCCTGCGGTGCTGGGGGTTGAACTCAGGTTGGCTGCATGCAGGGCACACGCCTGACCCCCTGGCCCATCTCTCCGACAGAGCAGGCTTGTGTGTCTCCGTGGTGTAGGTCTCCCTTATGGAAAGACTCACCTCGGCCTGAAGGCTCTCCAGCCGAATGATGTGCTGGTTGGTTGAAGAGTTTTTCTCCCGGAAGTCTTCTCTGAGGGCATGGACTTGCATGGAGAGTTGTCTCTCAACTTCTGATGCCTGCAAGCAGAGAGCACCTTCAGAGTCCATTCAGAGTTTGCCAAGCAGAATCTGGTTGAGATTTATGCCTTTCATTTCTCAAGCATCTCTCGGCACCTTTAAATTCTACCAAGGAACGGGGACAGAGAAGTTGTCTCCTGTCCCTTTGTTTTCTAGTGCCCTAGTAAAATAAACCCCTTTCCTGCCTCTATCTTTTTTGACGCTCTATGACCATTCTGCTAAAACAGGCCTTGGGAATTAGCGCTCAAGTGTTGGGTATCATTGTGATTACTCTGCACAAAGCAAATCCGTTAGAGTATCTCACGTACTAAACTGAGATCAAGTCTCAATAGTTTACACAAAAGAAAGACAGACACAGCTACTGTTTTAGAAATGACTTTAGTTATCCTGCCCACATCCTTAGTCTGTGCCTGCCTTTCTCACTCTTACTTAACCTGATCATTTGAATTTCCCTGGTACAAAAGCCAGGATTTGGTTTTGTTTAGATAAAGAGAGGATGTACGTATTGAGGAGAACACAGGCTTCTCCAGGATGGAAAAAGTAAGCCAGGAGACACTGAGACAAAAGAGATATGTGTTCAAAGGAAAACACAGGCCTCAAGAGCAAGTCTTATTTCCCACTCTAAATCAACTTATTCTCCACAGCAAACACCTGAAGTCATTCCCTAATGACTTCAGTATCTTCTCTAAAACCTAAGACAGTATTTCAATTGCTCTTATTCTTCTGAGGTAGTCACACCTGGTAGTGCTAAGGGATCATGTCTGGTGGTGTTGGGATGGGGATGGGTTGCCAGATATCGAATCCAGGTTGACTGTGTGCAAGGCAAGTGCCTCACCTGCTTACTATCTTTCCAGCCCTTAAGAACAGTGTTTTGAAAGAATGCTCCCTTGGCAAACCATGAACGCAAGCCTCCTCCTGAGAGGCCTCCAGCCCCCTGGGGAGAACAGCGCGGCAGGAGCCACAGAGCAGGGCCAGGACTGCCTCTGAGCTTTCCTGAGGCCAGTGGGGTCCGTAGGCTTTTGCTGAAACGGTGAAGGCGTTCAGAGGAGGCGGTAATGATAATGCTGACATGGTTGGCTGGCTGTTCAATGAGGCTCTCACAGTAACGGCGACATATTCAGTAGACTTTAATCTCCACCTATTATATAATCAGTTATACACTTTTCTTTTTTGATCCTTTGGGTTCAACAATGTTGCCCTCTGAACTGGAGTCAAATAAGAATTTTAATTTTAAGAAGGATCGACCTGTATTCGATCCCCGGCGCCCCATATGATCCCGGCTGCACTGCCAAGAACGATCCCTGAGCGCAGAACCAGGATTAAGCCCTGGGCATGGCCCCAAAATAAAAAAAAAAGTAGCTGGCCTATAGTTTTAACATTTGAATTACAAAAGACAGTAAAACAAAATCAAATTGTCGGTTTTCCCCTACTTCTAAATTTAATGTCAGATACCACAAACTTGTTCGAGACTTCCTAATCACTTAGAAACACAGTGTTAGTCATCCTGGCCTAAAATGAACAGCAATATTTACCAAGTGCTTACTATGTGCCAGGAACCACACTAAACGCTTCAAGTGCATTATTTCAATCACCACAACGGAAGCAGGGCCTATCGCCCTCCATTTATAAAGGCGGGGACCTGCTCAGGGCAGAGGCGGCTCTGCGCAACATCTCAGGAAGTGTTCAGAATACCGTTTAGTGTTCAGAATACAGAAGGCTTCAGAATACAGAAGGCTTCAGAATACTATTTCTGCAGTCTTGCCCCCAAATGAGGACTGCAGTACTGCCTTCATTTTGTGGGGAGAAGGCATACCAGGCAGTCCTCGGGAGTTGCTCTTGGCCTGGAGTCACTCGGAAGTACTGGGGGACTGTGCAGTGCTGGGTACGGAATCTGGGTTTCCACGTGCAAAGTGGAAACCCAGGCTTTGTCTTCTTATTCATTACTAGGTAATTTCGCTTAAGACTCTTCAAGTTTGGAGCTGGAGTGACAACACCGTGGGTAGGGTGTTTCCCTTCATGCAGCAGCCCTGGGTTTCATGTCCGGCATCTGATTTGGTCCCCTGAGCATGCCCAGGAGTAATTCCTGAGTGCAGAGCCAAGAGGAACCCCTGAGCACTGCAGGGTGTCGCTCAACCCCGCACCCCGCTCCCCTCCACACGAAGACTTTTCAAATTTCTTGTAACAAAATGAAAGGATTAGGCCAGAGAAATAGAACAGGGATTGAGATGTTGGCCTCGTACATGTCCAGACCCTATCTGGATCCCTGGCATCACATATGGTACCCTGAGCACAGAGCCAGGAGTCAGCCCTAAACACTGCTGGATGTAGTTCCTCAAAACAAATGAATATTAAGGATCGATAAGAAAAATGCCCTCATGTAAGTTTCTGCAGGACAACTGCCTGTACTGAATCTAGGTGACCCTCAGGGTGTCCAAAAATGCTTAGACTGGTAAATCACTGTCTCACTGAGGCAGCTGGCCTTATAAAGTCTCTTTTCAATGTCTGCATCCTCAGATGTGCATTATTCACTTTCTTCACAAAAGCTTTTAACCTATATCTCGTTTGCATCTTCAACAGCTCAAGGAAGCAGGAATCACTGGCCTTGTTTAGCTAGACAAGGGGGTGGAGGCAGAGAGAGGCACTGGTGTCCATCCTCTGGGCTCTGTGCTTCCCCAGCCCCTCACATCCACCCCCAGGCAGACGGCTGGTATTTGCCTGTGAGTGATGACGAGACCATCAGAGGCATAAACCTACTATTTGCAAAGAGCTAATATACACTTCAATGTAAAAAAAATTTTTTTTGAGAAATGAAATATGGCTTAGGACTTTAGACCAGACCAGCAGAATGAGTGTCTGCAACTTTTACATATAACATTGTTTATTTTGCTTTCTGGGTCACACCCGGCAATGCACAGGGGTTCCTCCTGGCTCTGCTCTCAGGAATTACTCCTGGCGATGCTCAGGGGACCATATGGGATGTTGCAAATCGAACCCGGGTCGGCCGTGTGCCAGGCAAAAGCCCTACCTGCTGTGCTATCGCTCCAACCCCAGCACATAACATTTTTATTGCTAGTTTTGGGATCACACTCAGTGATGCTTAAGGGTTACTCCTCTGCACTCAGGAATTACTCTTAGTGGTACTCAGGGACCCATATTGGGATGCCAGGGATTGAACCTGGGCTGGGCGCATACAAATAAAGTGGCCTGCTCAGCTGTGCTCTCTCTCAAGCCCCTTTGTTTTTTTGTTTTTTTTTGCTTTTTGGGTCACACCTGGCGATGCCCAGGGGTTACTCCTGGCTCTGCACTCAGGGATCACCCCTGGCGGTGCTCAGGGGACCATATGGGACGCTGGGAATCGAACCCGGGTCAGCCGCGTGCAAGGCAAATGCCCTACCCGCTGTGCTATTGCTCCAGCCCCTCTCTCTAGCCCCTTTGAACGTAACTTAAACAATAATCTCTTAAATTTGCACAGACTCTAATTCTGAATAAATTTTGGCCAAAGAATCAGGAAGTCTCCCAAGGTAGTACTACAGCTATAGTAAATTTTGGAGATTTTAAAAAATTTTTTTAACTGAATTATCATGAGCTACAGTTACACATCCACCAGTGCACATTTTCCACCACTAATGTCCCCAGTATCCCCCTCCCCATCCCACTCCTCCCCCTGCCTCCATGGCAGACAATTTCCCCCATACTCTCTCTACTTTTGGGGATTATGGTTTGCAATACAGATACTGAGAGGCCATCACGTTTGGTCCTTTATCTACTTTCAGGACAATCTCCCATCCTGAATGATCCCTCCAACCATCATTGTCTTAGCGATCCCTTCTCTATTCCAGCTGCCTTCTCCCCCAGCTCATGAGGCAGGCTTCCAACCACGGAGCAATAATCCTGGCCCATCTCTACTGTCCTTGGGTGTCAGTTTCATATCATGTTATTTTGTATTTTGGAGCTTCTTTGAAGAACCAGCGTAGGACATGTAGCCAGGGTAAAAAGAGTACACACGTACACGTGTACACGGAGATAAAAAGGATTGAGGCTCGTCGCCTTGCATGCAGCCAGTCCTGGTCAACCCCCTGCTCTGCAAGTAGTCCCCAGGCACTTGCGAGGGGCCATTTCTGAGCACAAAACCAGGAGTAGGCCCTGAGTACTGCAGAATATGCCAGAAATAAAAACCAAAACCATAAATACAGTGGTCTCTTGAAAGGAAACTATTCCAGAGAAGAGAGGTGGCATAATGAAAAGAAAAAATGTTGCATCTGGAAATGGAACTTACAGTTTCAGTACTGCCATCTATACATGTGTGAAATTATAGTAACTTAACCTCTGAATCTCAGTTTCCAAAAGTATAGATCTATTTCTTTTTTATATATTGCACAAAATGGCAGGAATGCCAATTTTCTATTTCCAACTCAGAACTTTGTAGGTCTGAGTCAAATCACTGAAGTCTGGAGAAATTTGGGGCAGTGGTGCTAAATAATAATAATAATAAAAATCTCCACGTTCTTCCATCCCCAGTATCCCTGAATCCCAACAGGAATGATTCCTGAGAAGAGTCTTGAATAAGTTCTGAGCATTGCCAGGTGTGGCCTCAGAACAAAAATAAAACAACCAAAAAAAAAAAAAAAAAAGGAAAGCAGAGGTAATTAAAAAAACAGGCACCAGGGGCTGGAGTGATAGCACAGCGAGTAAGGCATTTGCCTTGCACGCAGCCAACATGGCCGACACAGGTTTGATTCCCAGCATCCCATATGGTCCCCCGAGCACTGCCAGGAGCAATTCCTGAGTGCATGAGCCAGGAGTAACCCCTGAGCATCGCCGGGTGTGACCCAAAAAAAGCAAAAAAAAAAAAAAAAACAAACAAACAAAAAAACCAGGCATCAGGGCCAGAGCAATAGTACAGTGGGTAGGGTACCTGCCATGAATGAGGCGAACCCAGTTCAATCCCTGGTACCCTACAGGGTCTCCTGAGCCCACCAGCAGTGATCCCTGAGAGCAAA